ATTAGTGCAAATATTTAATTGCGCATATTTAATTCATTCTTACCCCTAATCATGCATTTTTGTGTATTTGATATCACATGTTTGGATGCATTTTTAAGACTTGGGTACATGAATATCCCACATTATCCCACATTTACTTTTAACTTACTGAATGTCTTATCTCATATTCTCTCTTCCATCAACGTTGAGGATTTATAAGGAGACAAACAATCCTGAATATTATCATAATCGTGTTCCCTCGACCTTCCGGACTCACGAATTATTCCTAATACTCGTAATTTTGCCAGAACACAGCTTCGTCTTCATTGTGTCTGAGCGAGAATCTGTTTCAAGGGCAACAAATCATCGGTAAACTTATCAGTTATGTAAGTTGCGTGATGACGTTTGCGCAAGGTGATAGTAAAAAAGAATGAAATCAACTTCAAGCAATAAAAATTATCCTATCAAATAAATGTAAATGAAAAAGAAATGGTCTCATTTATGTAGCACGGCTCTTAATTTAATTACGAAGTGCATATTGCAAAATTTAAGAAAATTGGCAACTATGTATTCGCAAGATACATTGACATTGCAGAGAAAAATATTTTATACAAAAATTTAAATTAGTAAATTACGCGCTTTTCTGCGAATGGGGACATACTGGGACAGAAATTCTTTGCCAAACCTGAAATCTAGCTCTTAGAAATGTCTTTCTTTTCTCTTACAATACATCTTTACTAGTTTCCATATTCCACAATACATTCACTAATTAACATATGTAGTTCATCTGCTAATAGACACAGCTAAAAATGACTAGACCATGTCATTCCCAAAAATTAATGTTTTTTAAAAGAGGGATAATGTTATTCAATTTATTCGAAACCATCACATACTGATCGCATCCCATCCAAATTCAATCCATTCCCATTCTGAAAATACATTTTTCAATTTCAAGCTAACAATCCTTATTTTGTTTGTTTTAAAAATATTTATGGGAACGGGCCCGATTGGAAATGGCCCACCTATCCGTTGAAATACTTTCTGGATCAACCACCACAGCAGCCAGACGCTCCTTCCTATTTTTTATGACGTATACCGTACATAAATCGATACTAGTAGTATTTTCTCGCTAAGAAATATTTTAATACTGTAACTTGTATAAGACTAATTCTTCAGCCTTATCTTGAAAATCATCCATTAAACAAACGAGGGAGATTCAAATTTTCGAAATTTCAGAGATTTTATGACTTAATCCCTTCTACCAGAACACCATCGAATGATTTTCGTCTTACGATATTTAAAACTTTCTAAATGCTGCTGGGAATTTGTTTTGGCTTGTTGTACACCACGAACTCGATCAGCCTTGGAAGTGGAACATCGTTCACGAAAGGCCAAGTTCAAGAGCGGGAAATGGCTGATAGTAAATAAAAGATACAGTTCACTGCCTTCTGTCCTCCTCTGGCGGCAGTATCGTTAACGGTTATGCAACGAAACTGAATTTCTCTATCCAGTAAACGAACAACTCACGTTGCAAACTCTTCGAAAATTTATATAGAACAGCCTGATCCATCCCTGACAACGTAATCCTCGATCAATATAATCTGAAGTAAAAGTGAAGACATGCGTATTGATTTTCATTGTAAACAATTTCTAGCGATTGCGATTGCGAAAAACGAAAGCTATTGATGGATCGTCAACGACATTTGTAAAAAGCTTTAGAAAATGCAGTTCAATAACACGGGATAACATGTGCTCGAATACAGGAAACGATCGCTACTGTTTTCAAGAAAAAAAATATTACTGGCATTTGGATTCGAGAAACGAGGTGTGAATCTACTCATTATGACTCGTATATGTAAATATTAAAAATACGAAAGTTGTTCTTTGGAAACAAATTATGTGGAATGATGAAATACAATAGATGTGTGTTTCGCTCTTTGACACGCAGAAGCATATTTTTTACAACAGAAAAAACTAGTGGTGCTACAAATGGCACAGACTTTCCTGTAATAGTTTTCTATTTATTTTGGTCTCGGCAAGCTATTCGAACTTGCCGTATACTCTTGCGTATTGCGTTCTATCGCCGCCCAAATATATTTTTTTCATTTTTCTGTTTCCTAATAGTAGGGTGGAAATATTATTTTAAGAAGACTAAAAAACAGTAAAATCTTTATCAGAATGACAACTTCCTTTGAAAAATTTGGAGCCGTTTTTAAGAAAATGGCGCTGGAGTAAATGGCAAAAAAGCGCTGCAGTAAATTAGGGATGTGCTCTTAACAGATAAATTGTTATTTCTTAACAGTTAACATTTCATTACTGTCACGCGAAATAACAATTATTTCGTTGTCCTGTTATTAGTTGTTATCGGTTGAAATGCATAGCATTGCAATCTATTGGGCCAAATTTGAACTAATACAAGCTTTCGTTGCGACCGTTTTGTACGAGAACAATTTCATTGCAGCTAATCAATCGTGATTAGCAAGTGTTCAAATTATAGCTTCATTAATAAATAATTCATCATAATTACTCACCATGCGCCATAATATTTTTTTATACTTTTATTGTCCAATATGTTGCTTGCTGTTTAGGTGAGATCCACTAATATTTCTCCTAATAAAATGAGTTACGGCCAAATTACTCGTATTATAATATTTGATATTCAAGAGTCATTATTACTTTAGCTGTAGGTAAGCAAAAACAGTTCCTCCTGATAATTTTTGGCACTTGTCACTTCACTATGCACAAGTTGCATCCATATTCCAAAGAATATTTGCAATCTGAATCCGAATCGCTGTTATTTTAGTAATATTCTATGCCGATTTACTACACATCGTATCGATTACTATTCTTCCTTAATCCAGACCGTTCATATCAGCTATTTCTCTGTCGAAACATGTTTGGGAAAGTAGTCCAAGCAAGCGCCATGAGGTAGCTGCAGAAGCTTTACGGTGCTACCAACGTTATTCGTGTTGCCTGGTTTAACTGATTTAACTTTTCGCAGTCGGCCACAGTCGACGGTGTTCGGTTGCTGACAATGGGCCTGTTATTTTTGAACTGTTATTAATAACCGTTATTACGAGTCGACTGTTATTCCGATAACACTTATTGAAGAAAAAGCTGTTTAGCCCATCTCAACAGGGAATTCGAAATTTGAAGCACTTTTTCACAGAAAAGTTTTTAGTTTTTGAAAAACTTCATTTGAAGTAATTTGCTTTAAATTCACAGGAATTCCGTTTTATAAGGTTTTCTTTCGTTGCAGGACATTAAAATCCCTTCCGTCTTCGCGTTGAACAGGTTCCATTTGTGTTCCATGTTGTGAAATTTTCCGGTTAAGGCAGATTTCCGGCTTGTACAGGTTCCGGTTTAGATTTTACAGTAAAAGCCTATATCCTGAAGAAATAAGAGTTCTTGGGCTTCCTTCATCCAAGTTTTATCCGTGGAGATCTAGCCACAGAAATTTGCGTTTATCCCAACTGGAAGACTCTTATGGACAGAATTGGCGTGATCCGGGTATGTATTACATACAATATATATAAAACCCTATAATATTTAATACATATAAAACCCTTAAAGATTTTTATTTTACTACTGTCATTCGGAATTCGTAGCCTTTGGCAATGGATTTTTCTTCTCCACAGGGTGAAATAACTATGATGATCTTTAGAACAGCTTTGAAATGCATCTGAAAGCAAGTTAATCTTTGGTGGGCTATAAGAAACCTGAATTTGTAAACATGATTGTCACTTCTATTCAGGAAATATTCATTTTCGATTCAAACAACATGGAATTCAACAGATTAATGGACGTTAAATCAACTGAAGTGAAATTCAGATCTACTATTCCTTATTACAAAGTTTTGGGGAATAATAGTATTACATGTAATAATAATTATATTTATTAAAAGTTTACTATATCATTGGCATGTGTATTTTTGCACACATTTTAGATAAATGAAAACGTTTCTTGAAAAGCGATAGCTCGCTTGGTAATCGGTTTCGAAAGAAATGTTATATACAAAAGAAATTTTATCATTGAAATTGAATTGAGTCATTTTTCTATAGGAGGTAAAATTAACAAGTTCTAGAGAAAAACACGAGAAAAGTCGGAAGAAATACCCGCTTATTGGCCCTCCCAGAGTTAGCAAAGAGCCTGGGAGATAGAAACGTGATGCTAAAACAGCACAACATTTCTCACCCTACTTTCACCAAAATTTCGCGAAAAATACTCAGATTTTCGAAATACAAATTATTATTTCAAAATCTATCTTAAAGAAACTCTCTTAAAGGAAGAAAGGAAATGTATCATTAAGGGGAAAATATTTATATTTAATATTTTAGTTGTAGGACACTGAAAAAATGTTAAACTTTGGCAATTTTCGAAAAATCAGTTTTCAACAAAAATGAGATCTGCACCATTCTCTTAAACGTCCGTCACAGTATCCAACAACAAAATTTAATAAAAAACGATGGCGTCTTTTTTTTTTAATATTTTGAAAATTAGTCAGGGGTTTCATGTAATGTACCTCCTAAAATTAAATTTCGGGAGGAATGGTATATCAAAATGGTATTTTAAAATTCAAAGGGCCGCGACATCAGGCATCGATTGAGGAATATCAATTTTGGAGAACATCGGCTGAAAGGTTTAGCCGCTCGCGTTGTTGACGGTCGGAAGTTTTGCCGTCATTCGATTTTTCGGTATCAAGGACCCACAAAACATGGATTCTGACTGCACCCCGTGTTAAAGGATTTTGTTCTAAATTTAGTAACTGCATTTACCCACTTTTCGTTACCAGGGCCCTGTAATAACAATTCGCAGTTTTTTCGCGCAACGTTACATAACTTTCTCTCTGCTCCGTAGCGGGAAAGTAAAAATGGTGTTTTAACCAATTTCCGAGTCCACACAACATATCAGGAGAAATAGTTTTATGACCTTTTCCAGGAAAATGTTCTTGCCAACTGGACCACTAGTAGTGTATTATAATTTTCTTTTATTTCTATCTAATAGTTTTTTCTCATTTCCAGCTGGCAGATTTGATTGCTCGGGATACTGAGTACATTGCCAATGTGGAGACGCTTGACAATGGCAAACCCTATGGTGATTCAGTTTTTGATATACAATGTGCGATCGATACTTTCCGTTACTATGCTGGTTGGTCTGACAAGATTCATGGAAATACCATTCCTGCCGGTAAGTTTCACTATTGACTGATTAGTTTTATATGTACGCTATTTTGTATTGTTTCATTGTTTACTTTCATTGTTTACACTTCATGAGTCAAAACAGAATTAATGTCTTGAGAGACTTTGCATGATCAAATTATGTTCCACAGAAATATCATTATGAAATCAAAGTTAATAGGAAGATAAACTGCAACCTCTGCAATTTAAAAATCTAATACCAAAATATATTCACATATTGTGAACGAATGTGAAATTTTATTAAAAATGTATCTTTAGGAAGATTGCTTCGCTTGCTGCAGCCTTAAGATATCAAGATCTTTTTTGGTTGCATCTTTTTCGCAACGTCTCTTAGCCTTTCTTGGGCATTGAGCGTGTTAATCTGTGGAGTAATCCACTGTTAAGTTTTTGTCTTTTTGTCTTGTCACATCGTGGTCAGTCATGCCTTTCATCCCATTGGCCAGAGGCTCAGCGATCTTAGTAACCAGGGTTTCCAGACGGTCTCCAGTCCTGGAAAACATAGTGTCTCATGTTGCTTAACTTACGTGACTCCTCGGAGCGTAGTTAACAATTCGGCTGACGACGTTGGCTTAAAATAATACTGTATATCCTTAATAAAATACTTAACACACAAATTGTGTGTGTGTGTGTGTGTGTGTGTGTGTGTGTGTGTGTGTGTGTTTTTACCCCTGTTGCAATAGATACGTAACATAATATTTGTAATTTTTCTCTTCTATATTTATTGAGGTTCACTGCTTCAGAATCAATGTAAATTAGTATTTGAAAAAATAAGCTATTCACGACAACTTCAAAGAGCAGAAGGGACAACAGTTTGATGTTGAGAAAATGTGTTTTAAACCAAACTAGGCGCTACCTGAAGAACTAACACTGTTATGGAGAAAGGCTTCTTTTATTTTGAATGATACTTATTTTTACTGAGAGGAGACACTTCCGGTTCTATGCAACACATCTCCCGCGGTAGCTATTATTCTGAAGTTAGTGTTGGTAACTACCGCATTTTATATTTCACACGATCTTAGACTGCTTCTATAGCTATTTCTACGTATTCGAATTTTGAAGAAATTGTTCACCACCGACGTTCCGTGAAAAAGTCGACGCCGTGTGTAGGCAGACAGAGCTTGTTCCGGCTGGATCGGTACCCTGCCGGGGGAGATACCCGGAGAGAGAATTCCCGTGCAAGCCGATCTGTAGGTCGGCGCCTGATCGCAATAACTAGCGGAGGAGGGACACCGCCACCTCCAGGCATAAAACATTCACTCTAACGGAACTAATGACCATAGCAGTTGACATTATCGGAAACATCAATGATAGCCACTTAACCGGGAACACTTGTAATTGGATGAATAATTTCTGAGACGTGGCATTATCTGGCGGTAAATATGGGAGTCAAAATTTCACGACAATGCTGGGGGTCTTGGGGTACCAAATAAAAATTCCCATCGATTTCAATTGTCAGGATGCAGAGAGCGGGCCTATAAATAAGTTCCCGGGTAAACCACAAAATGTTTCATGATAATGAAGTTCATAATAAATAAGGAAGTAAAATAATGCGTAGGAAAAGACATTAGAGCTTACATTGAAAGGTCCAATCACATTTTGTACCATAACCAAGGAGACTTTCCAGGCGGATTTTCTAAACTTTAATGCGCTTAAACACAAAATTATATATTATGTAACTTCCCTTTGTTTAACTTCAACTAACTAAATTTGTAACATATTTTCATTCATGATTTAACAATGTTATTTGTTCAATGCAAATGTAAATCGTTTTCAAAGATGATGCAATGACGCTACAGCGCCGCCATGCGAAAATTGAATTGAATTGAATTGAATTTGCCTTATTTTACGTGGCGAGACTCGGGCCATCAGGCCCGCTCTTCCGTCTGACCACGCAAATTTCACTACGCTCCTTTCACCAACTAGGAGAGAAAGGAGGTATTTCTTGGGCGAGAAACAGGCGATTTGAATTTAGCTCAGAGGCGTCATTTAGGCTTGAGGATCTTTTACATGCAAGTAAATCTACGAACATGGGACAGCCGGCTTTACTTCCCCTCCGAAGGAAGGCGTACGAAGGATTTTTTCGCCCTTAAAAATCCACGGCTTCGATCGGGTTTGAACCCGCCAACTTGGGTACAACAGTCCACGCTAACCGTTACACCATCGCCGCCGCTAGGGCGGGGAAGGGCTTTTCTCCTATTTTACCAAGAGGGTCAAAAAAATTGCAGTGTTTACACGCGTCCTAGTACATGAACAGTTTATCAAAAAATTAAAATGAACATTTTAATGTTGTAGGAAATGCCTACTTTAATTTTAAATATGAAAGTTGTTGTGACCAAGCGCAAAGTTTTCGAAGTACAATTATAAGCGTAAAAAATAGCGAAATGTTTACGGTATTTTGCTATTTTCTCTGAGAAGCCGACATTTCACAAGGTGGAAAATCTCAAATTCGAAATCAACATCCCCCAAAAAAGCATAGAACCGCGTAGAAAAAGTTAAGAAGTTTTTCCTGATTCGGATATCATTTGACTGTACTATTAACAAAAATGCTATTGTTAAATGGATAGACACACGTTTTATCGTAAAGCAATTTTTCTATATCAAGGACACACAAAAAATGGATTAAGACTACACAACGTTAAAGGAAGGGCAAGAATTATCTACTTTTTGGGGTAAGAAAACTGAGTTTTTCTGTCGAAAAATTGCCAGTTTGTCATTGCAACATTGTATAACTTTCTCCAACACTACGTAGTATAATGCGAAAAAGTGAAAATGGCCATTTGATGGTTTTGTCTAAAGTTTTTAAAGGAAATAATTAAAGAAATCTTGCAGCGCATGCATTTTTAAGAAACTGTTTTCATAAATCTATATTTTTATACATAATGGAGCGTTTTAAATTTGAAATAATTAATAATTATACATAATTTGTTGTTTCTTTTCAAGCTTGAATACAAAGGGCTGCTTCATGTACTGTCAAAGGACACTGCATCATATTGCTCTCGGATTCAAATTACTTCAGTTTTGGTGGTTGTACATACTACTTCACCTACGTGGGTAGTTTCCTTTCTTCTTCTAAACTTCTTTATTCCTATCTATCGTGGTATGCAGGCGTGCTAGTTCAACTGGCCTAGAATTTTCATTCGTGTTGCACATTCTCATGAACGCATGGTTGGGGGGGGGGGAATGTAAGAGATCGAACTGATAACCCCGATAACTTTCGTGGACTTAATTCACAACATTGGAATAAATGTTTTTGTTTAACTTCATTTTTTTAAATAATGAAGATAAACATAGAAAAATGTGTTGTTCGGGACTTAATTTAGTCTTGGCTGCAGCAAAAATTGAGAAACAATTATCTACAAGAATAAAGATTGGTCGTGATCTAGTTTTACGTCACATTTGATACAAAATTTTAAACCATTTAGTTCGAAACCCTCTGGTCATATTAAACCCCAGTCGGCAGTGAAGACTTCTAATCCTTCCTACCCTTTCTCCCCTCCCCTTGCCCTATTCGATGGTTGGAATACATTAATTTTAAAGGAAGGTAAACTTTGCTCTGGACCTTCTCAATGCGACCACCGATTTTGAGCTCAAACTATACCGTAAAATCCAAACAATTTTAATAGTATTTCCAGACGCGCTCCAAGTGGATTCAATAAATAATTAAGATGTACCTAATGAAAAATCAAACGAGAGTATATCCAGAGAAATGTAGAAAGTTGTTTTTGAGAATTCAAATTTAATTGGTATAATAATAAATTAATCCCAGTCGTCTATCCTTTCAATCCATTGTATGTTAATTTGTGTACAATATTGTATAAACATTATTTTTTTTGAATGAAGATTGGTTTAGGTATTATTTGGATTACTTAATTAAATTCTGTATCACGTACAATTTCAACATTTTATTTACATTTACGTATGCCAAATAAATCGGTTTCTATTATATATTTTGATAATTTTTATCTGATGAATGTACAGAACGCAAGGCCTTTGAATAGTACATTAAACATTCGTTCAATGTACTGAAATTCTTCAAAAGATTATACTTTGTTGAATAAATGCGATCTTTGCCTCAAAATTTATCTCGAAAGCAGGTTTAGGGCCCTCTTCAGCTTTTGCAAAATGTTGTTTATTATATTTCTCCTTCTTTTTTTTAATTTATATTTTAAACCTTTTTTTAAAATCTCATTTGAATGAAATAGTCATTAAATTTTGAAAATTTACATTTTACTATGGGGGAATTTCTCCACGTTTCCATCTCGTCGATTCACGACTGAAATAGTACCAAAATTTGGGAGGAGATGAACCTCCGTCTTGTTCCAGAATAGAATGTGGATGGCCTTCGAAAGATCGCCCGCTGAGCTCCGACGCGGGGCGACAGGGCTCGCCTGCGGTGGGACATTGACCCTGACCTTGTCTCTGCAGACGCGCGGGGTTCAAGTGCGCTCCTAACGAAGGCGTACTTGGCCAAGCGTCAACTACCAAATTATTGGGTGGGGGAGATTCAAAAGATAAGATGCAGATTACCTGGGTCTCCTCAAATAGGCTCAGCGTGTCAGGCTATTTGAATGTAGGCTATTTGGATTTGGATGTATGATGATGTAGATTCATTCACCAGGATAAGTGTTCGTCGCTTGAGGAAGGGCTAGGGTCCGGGGCCTCTCCCGAAATAAAAAATAATCGTGGTTAATGTTGTGTTATCAGAATCAAGAATGAAAATATTATAAAGTGCAAAAAATAAATAAAAATACATCATACAAGATAAATATATGTGGCAACTCTATGAAGCGCAGACTCCTTCGCCCCCCCCCTAAAAATTGAGACGGGAGGGACCTCCAAAACTGGACAATAATAATTAAACAACATTCATTGTAAATGAAACGTTTGGAAAACAGAGCAAGCATTGATGGTAAATCTTGTAGATATGGTTGGTACAAAGAATGTCCAGAATCTACCCAGCTTCGACCCAGTATGAAAATTTGTTTTTTCGAAAAAATAACCTGTTTTCGGGAAAATTGGGTTTAAATGACACTTTCAGGCAAGCGATTTAAAACTACTGTCGCATTATCGCAATTTCTACGTGACTACATTGTCAGCAATGGTGCTGGGAGTTAGTCTGTGTATATGTGTGTCTGTGTATATCTGTGTCTGTGTATATGTTTGTCTGTGTATATGTGTGTCTGTGTGTGTTTGTGTCTGTGTGTGTTTGTGTCTGTGTGGGTTTGTGTCTGTGTGTGTGCTTGTTTGTGGGTTTGTGTCCTTGTTTGTGTGTGTTTGTTTGCTTACTTGCGTGTTTGCTTGCTTGTGTGAATATTCTGCTGTGTGTGTGTGTGCGTGTGCGTGCGTGTTATCGGAGACTGTTGTTTAATTGTCTGTAAGGAAAACTGAGTACCACACACTAGAAAACTCGCCGGAAAGGACCTTACTCGTGAAACTGAAATCCGCTCTCTGAGAAATACAATGGCATGAGGGGCGTTCTATCCTCCACCTTGTTTTCATTACCTTAGCGCCTCTACCTGCGCCAATTTTTAAACGTCCTTTGCACTACATGTGGACAAAAATAATTAAGAATACATTTGGAGCCGATTTTAAGAAAATGTTTTTTCCCTTTAAATTGCAGTAACTTTAAAGAGAAATTATATGAAAACTACTCATTTTTCAAACAAATGTTTAAAAAAGCAAAGGATGTTCAAATTTTGTTGCAGATATTACTTTCTTTCAACACTCAGGATATTTAAAAGTTATTCATGTTAGAAATAATGTGAGAAACAATTAGTGTTTTTAAGAGGGAAGAAAGTTAAGTGAAAACTTTCCTTCACTCGTGTAGTGGTAACGTGCCTGGCATGACATCTTGAAGGACCTGAGTTCACATCTCAGCAGGGAGAAAACCTTTTTGCTGCTGGAAACACTTTTGTAGATTCATAAAGCTAATATTGTTATCTAGTATAATATTGCATAGCCGTTACAAATAATGATAAAGTATGTGGTGTTAGCACCACTGCTTTGTAAATGTTTTTTCTAGAGGAGGGTGGAGGGCATCATGATTACTTACTTGGGGAACCTAAAGTACCTTACTGCAGCCCAGAGCCCTGAGTTTAAAATCTTTCTCACTTGTATTGATTGATGGGAAAACTCCTTCCAAGCAATTTACACTGCAAAATGCAATTGTATTATGAAAAATGGCCAAAATATCAAGGAAATATTTCTGTTTGTGCATTCAAAGCAAGATTGTAAGCAGAAATGTGTTATGCAAGAACTCTGAATCAAAGTAAAGCAAAAGTAATGATAAGCAAAAAGACTTGTAACAAATTTGTTACATTATCATTCATTACTCTAGCATTTTCATACTATTCTCAGCACTAGTTGAAAAACTGATATAGATCATTTAGATCAGAATAATTTTTCATCGGGCTTTTTTTTCAGTGAAGATTATCATGTCGGTAATTTGAACTTCATTAGAGAGCTGAGCTTTGATATTAGTGTGTAAAATGTATTGTGTACAAAATATATGGACAAATTCTTAAGTGGCAGTCTAAAAGATTTTCATTATGTAAATATTCCTCAAATAAAATACAATGGAATGTTCATTAAAACTGTTGAATTAGGATTTTTATTGTGTAATTTTCATCCATTTTTCTTCTTTCTTTCAGATGGCACTTCTTTCACATACACAAGGAGAGAACCAGTTGGTGTTGTAGGGCAAATCATTCCTTGGAACTATCCAGTTCTTATGTTAGCTTGGAAATGGGGACCAGCACTAGCTGCTGGTTGCACTATTGTTCTAAAGCCTGCTGAGCAAACTCCCCTTACTGCATTGTACATAGCAGCTTTAAGTAAAGAAGTGAGTATTGCATCTTTTGAATTCCTTTCTCTCTCTCAAATTTAATGCACATATAAACTCTTCAAATTAAATAATATTTTTGTAAAGAAGTGATGAAAAGAGTAATAAATTATACTCCCACAGTTGTAATAATTTTGAGGAAAAAATATTCAGACATCAGTGACAGTAAGAAGAAACAGTGACAACAAACCTCCCATTAAGAAATGTTAATATCTTGATTTTGGTCAAATTCCATTTCATCTTGTTACTACCTAAAGACTTTCATAAATATGAACAAGATATGCCAAGTTTACACCAAAATCTAGATATTAACATTTACGAAGAGTGGGTAGTTTGCTAGGACTGAAGTGACTTATTTGTTACTACCTCAAGCTATTGTTATAATGGATTTTTTCTTCATGTTTATTTGATAAAAAGTGGAATAATGATGTGTGGTGAAATTGAAATATTTGTACATATTTGCAATATATTTTGAAAAGTTCTTTAAAAAAATTTCTTTTTATGAAGAACAGTGGACTTTTAAAAATAGTTTCAATTTCTTGAATTTAACTGAAAATATTGCACTATTAATTTTTTTTCTTTACAGGCAGGTTTTCCACAGGGTGTTATCAATGTATTGCCAGGTTATGGACCTACAGCTGGTGCAGCAATTTCTTCTCATCCTGATGTTAACAAAGTAGCCTTCACTGGTTCAACAGAAGTAAGTTTTGAGACTCAATCTTGAAAACAAATACAATAATGTGAATGCGTTAATATTTGCTGTTTTTTTATTGCTAGGTTGGTCATCTGATTATGGAGGCATCTGCAAAATCGAATCTGAAAAGGGTGTCTCTGGAGCTTGGAGGAAAGAGTCCTTTAGTCATAATGGATGATGCTGATGGTAATAAAAAACATTTTACATAGTTGTTTATAGATCTTCATATAGTGGGATTGCAAGGGGGGGGGGTGAGGGAGGGGGTTTCATCTTGAGCTTCATCTCCCAAATGTGGCTGACCTAAAGAGGGGCCCCCACCCCCAAAGGTCCTTTAATCCTAGCAGGGCCCAATAAATAACCAACATGAAAATATGAATTAAAAAAAATGATTGGAAAATGTTTTATTTTAGTGCACTAAATTAATAAAATTTGCATTTACAGTTGATGAAGCAGTTGAAATAGCCCATGGTGCAATCTTTGCAAATCATGGTCAGAACTGTTGTGCAGGATCTAGAACCTTTGTTCAAGAAAGAATTTATGATGATTTTGTGAAAAAAGCTACAGCAAAAGCTGCTGCAAGAAAAGTTGGTGATCCTTTCAGTGATGGAACTGAACAAGGACCTCAAGTGAGTAGACCTTTAATGACATTAATATTTTTGTTTCTAGAAAGATGATTTAGATTTAGAATATTTATTTATAGATATAATATTATAGAAAGATGGTTTTTAGAATTGACAAGATTTATAGATATTCTATAATTGTATTTAAAAGTTCAACATAAGAGGATATGACGTTTACATTTACGTAAATTGTTTGAGATACAGCAATTTTGAGAATTTATTCCCTTTAAGTTAATTCTGACCTCATAACTTTTATACACTTATCATATTTTTAATGTAAGTTTCTTTCATATTTCATTGAAACTATGTGATATAATAAAATAAGAAATAAGCACAATGCAAATTAAAAATCTTCTCACTAAACCAAAATTTGGTGAAATTTGTGCCATTTTGACATGTCATTATATGCTATCTCAAACTTAGAAACCTTTGGCAAACTGGTAGAGAGGCCCAAAAGAAATCCTAAAGCTGAAGGAAGAAAAGACAGTCCATGTGTTTTTCAAGAAAGTGGGAAAGTCACTGAAGGTTGTGTATATGTTAAAAGTATTATCTATTTTTCAGATCGATGATGAAATGTTCAACAAGGTTCTGAACTTAATTGAATCTGGGAAGAAAGAAGGGGCTAAACTTCAATGCGGAGGTCAACGTTTTGGTAAACAAGGATTTTTTATTCAACCCACAGTTTTTTCAGATGTTTCTGATGAAATGAGAATTGCGAAAGAAGAGGCAAGTATCTTGTGTTTGATCTAGTTAACTTGCATGAGATACACACGTACAACTTATAACCACCACTTGATAACTGTTTTTTATATATTTAAAATGCAAGGATTAGAGAAATTACATTTGTTTTCTTATATCACATCAGGTTTAAAAAAAAAATTATTTATGAGTATTTAAAAAATTATTTGACTTTAAAAGCTGCAAACACCATTTCTCTAACAAAATAAAATAAAAATTGTATTCAAATATGCTATAATATGAAAATTAAACACAGTAATTAAATACATATTTTAACTTATACATTTCGAAGAAAAAGACCTCGTTCATGCATTTGACCATTCAATAAAACCATTGGGGATAAGATAAAAAACATATTTTGCCACTTATTTTCTTGTACACTCTGTAGTGTGATCACATTGCGGTAACCAATAGAAGTTACAGCTTAGGTTTTCGTGGTCGGAGTCAGTATATAATTGGCTGTCCGGGTGATGCCGCGTCCACGGCAAATGTGCCGACGGACGTTTCGGCCGTCGTTGCCCTGAGGAAGGTCGCAGAATGGCGGCCGAAATGTCGGCACCTTTGCCATGGACGCGGCGCCACCGGACAGCCAATTAAATACTACAGTAGTTAGTTATCATGGATAAATTCCATCGGTCATTGGCCCTTGCCTCTCATACGGACTTCTGTTTCCTTAGTATCTTGGTGGAACTTCTCACTCTGTTCTTCAATCACTGCTAGCAGGTTTCTTGGATAGTGATATGTACATTTTAATATATTTGTTTAAAATGCAAACAAGGGTTAAAAAGTCTGGGAAAATAAGGCTGTAAATAAAATATAATTTTATACCACAAACCCAAAATTTCACATTAATAACTTGTTATTGTAATATTTTTCTTTCCATGAAAAGATGACAAAAAATGTAGGATGTATATTAGGAATGGTTATTTATATAACTAGGGGTTCAAGTAGACCCTTATTCATGAGGGAGATACATTAGATCGTGAGCATGTTGTGAAAAAGACAGACAACTCTGAAGTGAATAAAAGTTTATTAAAATCTCATCAAAACATAACTTTATTAGTAAACCATCTTTCTTTAATTTTTTTTTAGTTGCAAACAGACATACTTGCCTGAGCAGCATTAACTAGTGGCTTTACTTGGATATTGATAGATGCACTGCTTTCTGCATATCCTCAAGCCTAAATTAAGCCTCTGAGTTAAATTCAAATAGCCTGTTTTATCACCCCCCCCCCAAAAAAAACCCCTCCTTTCTCCATTAGTTGGTAAAGGAGCATAGCGAAATTTGTGTGGTCAGGCAGAAGAGCAGATCTAATGACCTGAGTGTCACCATGTAAAATTAGGCATCAGTTCAATTCAATACTTGCAATAATCGTATATACCTTCAATGAGAGTGGCTGAGAAAGGGAATTGTTGAGCACTGCTCACTGTTGTGCTTAATCTCTTGCCACAAGTCAATGTTTAATTTCAAAACAATATTAGTTTTCCATCTCATCCAGAATTTTTTATACATACCATCAAACTAAAAATTCCTTTCTGTTTCATGTTAGGCAGGTTACCAGCTTATCCAGTGTACTTTGTATTGGAAAATATCCGTTCTGAAACTTCTGACAAGGCAGGTTCCACCATAGACAGTTTTACTAATTACTGATATTAACAAATATTAATTTTTTTATGAGAAAGGAAAGAAATAGCAGTTCCATACTTTTAATTTCAAATTATTTTCTGCAGTCTCCTTTCAAATCTTTAGTAGAAATATATGAATGGAGTTAGAATTAAGTCATTGAAGTGAATGTTGCAGATTTTTGGCCCAGTGCAATCTATTATCAAATTCAGAACTTTGGATGAAGTAATTGATCGAGCTAACAAAACAACTTATGGCTTAGCAGCTGGCATAATTACTAAAAGCCTTGATTCAGCTTTGGTGTTTGCACAGGCTGTACAAGCTGGATCAGTTTGGTAAGATCATCTTACATTCCTATTAGGTAAATGTGTTAAACTCTTCATGGTAAACATTTGTAAGTTTTGTTTTTCAGGGTTAACTGCTATGATGCTGTAGTTCCACAGGCTCCATTTGGAGGTTTCAAACAATCTGGCCAAGGAAGAGAATTGTAAGTATGTTTGAAGTACATTTCTGTATTAATGTGACAGAGGTACTTTTTGATTGCATCTGCAGTGTATCATACTTCATTTTGAATTTTGATAAAAAATAATCAATGTTGCTTTTAATAGTTTCTCCAGAAAATCACTAAAAAGATCATGAAAATGTTTCAAATCATGAATATGCTAATTTTTTCTAAATTAATTTAAATTAGATTTATTTACCACAAGATACAGTGATAGTGTTCATTCATACAATAAATATAATAAATATAATCATAATGATGATGAGGAGGAGGAGAAGGGCAAGAAGGAGATGATGATATTATAATGATGACTTAATGATCTGATGACAATGATATTAATAAACTTATTTATACATTTATAAATTGTATTAATAACCATGATTAAGTAAAGAAAACAATTAAACCATCTCCATAATAAGAAACTAAATTGAATATCTGAAACCTAATAACTATAAATTTCGATGATTACATATATTAACATGCAAAATCCACCACAAACCCTCTCTTAAGTGATTTTTGCTGTTTCATTGAGACTGGAGGAGGAGGAAATTGGAGGTTATGTGAACAATAGCAAATTAATTTAAACACTGAAGTTAACCTTAGAAGTAAAACTGATAAGGGTATTGCCAATTATAATTAACAAGAAATAAAATTAACTAATTACATAGCAATATGTGAAAAAGGCAATTGGCAAAAATGGAAAGGAGTTGCTTATCGATCAAAAGCAAAAATTCCACCAATAATACAATTATTTGACATTTCTTACTAAATGTTTATTGGCAAAAAGTTGTCATCTTCAACCACCACCCTCCACATGCCTTAGAAGTTTGTAATATTTATTCCAAGACTTACAATATAGTAGGTATATACAAAGCAATGTAATAAAAAAAAATTTTCTGCTTCTTGAAACATAAAGTTTATTGCATTTATTAAAGAATTGGTTCTGAGTGTCTCCTCTATTGGGTTTGAGTACAAGAGTCATTGAAATTTCTGATTTAATTTTCAGAGGAGAAGATTCTCTCAAAGAATATTTGGAAATCAAAACAGTGTCCATCAAATTGCCAGTGAAGAACTGAGGATCATACTGCAGTGGATTCCTACAAGAGGATTGAAAATTGTCTGTGTAGGGCTCTTGGTGTTGGATGTTCATAAATATTATGAATAAATTCACTAATCAAATAAACTTTCCATTTGAAAGCTTGCTTTATTTTCGATTTTATTTATTATGCTTTGAAATAAACATTATCCTTTAAATGTCTGGGACCACACAATCAATATAGGGTCTAACCCAGTGACCTGCAGATATTATGCAGTATGGTAAGCCTATATGATACACAGAAATGTTAGGAACATGAGTCAATCATAAGCAAAGAAAATCTTAATTAAAGTGTAGTATTCAAAATTTCTTTCTAATTTCAATTTACTTAACTCAATGTCTTTATTTAAAATAGAATTTAGGGAGATCAGATCAGAATTAATTTCTCTTTGAAGCAGCCAAAATGGTTATGATGAATAACTACACATGACACATTATAAAATCCATCAGCTCTGAGTTCCTGAATGAAGACTGCGGGGGGCTGGTACTTATAGACTGAGGGGGAGGGGGGAGAAGAGATTTCCCCCCTATGTCACATACAGTTTTTACTGTTTTTTCGACTGAATAAATCTAAAATCTAAATCTAAAGAAAAGCATTTTTAATGCAGCTATACAGCTTTTGGGAAGGAGATCCCCCTCTAGAATACCATCAGGGGGAATCCAGCTGATAAATTTGATGGGGGCCATCATAGATTTTTGTTAAATAATAAACACTTGTTATTATATTGTTTATTATTTTTATAATGTATATATGATACTATACAATATTATTTTTAAATAATTACATAATGCTAACATAAATATTTATTTTGCCAAATAAAAAAAGGTAACAAACGAAAACCTTAACGAAAACCTTAAGCCTTTCGGAGGGGGTCATGGACCCAATGCCTTCCCTCTGGATCCACTACTGAATACCATATACATTGTAAGTTATTGGAACTAATTGAATTCGGCGCGTATTTGGCGCCCTCACGCGCATTAAACTGGGACAGATCATGGGCAAAGATCTGGCTAGGACGAAGCACGTAATTTCACCTCATACCCATGGGTAGCATAGTTGGCTGGCTGAAACGGATGTTGGCTGGTGATACGGCTAGTGGAGTCGATACGCGTCTCCTCTCGTTTTCGCTCTTTCTCGTTTCTCCCCCTCTCTCTCTCTCCCTCACCCTCTCTCTCTCTCTCCCTCACCCTCTCTCTCCCTTCTCTCCCTCTCTCTCCCTCTCTCTCCCCCTCTCTCTCTCCCTCTCTCTCCCCCCTCTCTTTCCTCTCTCTCCCCCTCTCTCTCCCTCCCTCCCTCCCTCTCTCTCCCTCCCTTTCTCCCTCCCCTCTCTCTTCCTCTCTCTCTCCCTCTCTCACCCTCTCTCTCCCTCTCTCCCTCCCTCTCTCTCCCTCTCTCTCCCTCTCTTTCCCTTTCTCTCTCCCCCTCTCTCTCCCCCTCTCTCTCCCTTTCTCTCTCCCCCTCTCTCTCCCTCTCTCACTCTCCCTCTCTCCGTCTCCCCCTCTCCCTCTCCCTCTCTCTCGTTTCTCGCTCTCTCCCTCTCGTTTTCTCTCTAAATTAATGTTTTTTAATGAATTTTTAAGTGACATAAGTAAAAAATATTGTTTAATATACCAGTGTTGCTCGTTCATTGAGAGAAATAAAGTACTTTAACTAGTTTGCACCACAAACTAAATGGACGTTTCTTAATCACTAATCTTCCAATGAATCTTCTTTTTGCATCTTAATTTTATGAATGGAAAAACGTATGCCGCTCATTCAACGTGGCAACGCAAAGTTCGTCGAGAGTACAACTTGTGTTCTGCATAGTATAGAAGCCTAAGAAGCAACAACGTACTCATTCTAGCGGCTAACGTCCGTTGGCTGCTACGCGATGGACGTCACAGCAGAGCACAAGTGTGGCAGTACTCATATGCGTCCCTGCTGCGCTGCGACGGACTTAACACTTTAACGTACGTCATTTGACGTTCATGTGGCTCTAGACAAAAGTGCAAGCAAATTCTGAATGAGGGAAGTGTCTCAATGTTATGGTTTTCTGAAGCATTGTTAGCAAAATAATGCCGACATATTTTAATTAAATGAATCGCTAGAAAATTCCATGTCTTCGTATCAAACGAGCTTATTGAAATGCAAGGGATGGAGACAATGACGGGTTTTTTAGATCAAACCTTTACTGTCGTGTGCATATAGCTCGTTTTTGCTGAACGGAGTAAATATTATGTCGCTCTTCATCCCGACTTGAGCTCCCTCCCTCTCCCCTCCTTCCCCTTCCCCCTCCACCCCGCTGATTGCCACATTCCTCTCCTGATATGTTTTTGTGGACTCTTTTTCGCCCAAACACGCCTCTCGCACAAATATAGTTCTATATATCTGTGGTATCTTGTAATGAGTCTATGTCGCGTAACTCTGGGAGAGGGAATATTACGGGGGGAGGGGTTTCACATCGCATCGCGACTTGCCGGCAGCTACCAGGCGAGTGTGTTCCTGTGTGGCCGCTAGAGTGAATCGCTGCTCTGGCTGTGCTCGAAAGACTGAACCGTCATCTCTAGATCAGCACAACTTTATAAATACGCTTCTCCCACTGAACATGGGCAACCGAAGTCCTGCCATCAAGTACACACAAGTAAGAACCTATCCCGCTATGTTTCCGATACAATTTTCCTGTACAGTTTACAAATTTTGAGTAGTTCTTTGCTATCTCAGGCCAGTGTCACATGAGAGTTGTATTTATGCACGTCGAGTTACGTGCGCTATATGTTATCTCTTTATATTTTGTGGAATGACACACAGCGCTCTTAGCCACGCGCGTGTAGCTGGGAACGCGCGTCGCCTAGTCGCGTCGCGTCGCGCGTCGCCTAGTCGCGTGTTGGAAGTTAGAAAACGCCGGTTTCCCTTGACGTACGTTGTAGCTTGTGCTGTGGGCCATACTGTCTCCGAACATGTGGTTGTATCAACACGTGTTTAACGGACGTTTTATCTTCAGTAGTTCACAAGTGGAAAGTAATATTTAATTTAAGTTGGTTTTCGATGATTTTGTTTTAGAATAATACATTCTGTTTATACTGCGTTTTCGGCAATTTTACGATTTATATTTCTCATTTCAAAATCTAACATTCCGGAGGTATAATAGTAAATAAAATATTTATAAATTTATTTTAAACTGTAGGCCTATATTGTATACAAATTATATTCTGGGTTGTTTTAAAATATAAAGCTTAGGGTATATTTTAATTGATATATTTCAAGGTACATAGCATTTTAGTGTTTTGAAAAAAATTATGTAATGAACTAGAGAATTATATTGCTTGAAAAGTTGCCCTTTGAAGAAAAACAATGAGTTGTTTTAATTTGGCCTAAACACAACAAAGACGGTATTTATCAATTATTCTAATAATATATTTCTTGTATTATAATTAATTTATTTAATTTCCTAGTGTTATTTAGATCTAACATGGATGCAGAATTACATATACTAGACGTGGAGATGAGACGTGTTCTTTGAAACATAATAATTAATGTGTACTAAGATAAAGTGAAGTGTGGGGAAACGTTTGTAGGCATTTGAGTGTGGATTTTGGTAAGAGGTTAACCTCGGGATACTTGTAGTTTGGGGAGCTACTCATAGAATGATTTCAGATATTCGAAAATCAAAACATTCTGACTAATCGCAGCATAAAGAGAGTGAAGTAATTGGTGGCGGCGATAGTGTAACGGTTAGCGTATCGGACCAATATACTCAAGTTCGCGGGTTCAAACTCGATCGTAGCAATGGTTTTTAAGGGTGAGAAAATCAGTCGTACGCCTTCCTTCGTAGGGGAAGTAAAGCCGGCTGTCCCATCAGGCTCGCACCACGTAAGGTCAGACGGAAGAGCGGGCCTGTTAGCCTGAGTCTCGCCACGGAAAATAAGGAGTCAATTCAATTCAATAATTACCATGAGAAAGTCTCTTACTATTAACAGGGTCACCCAATGTCTGATGGACTCTTTCCTTAAAATTTTCAACGCCACATAACCTATAAACGCTGTTTCCACGGCGTCTATGTTGAGTAGGCCCTGCCGAAAAGTGCTTAAAACGCGCGGTAAACAACGCTCGTGTGCGCAGGCATCGCCACGCGTTGACATGACCAACGTTTGGTACCGCGCGTTAAAGCAACGCTCGTGTGTTTCCGGTCTCAGTTGTTTATAACTCTTGGTTTTTTAAGAGCCCTCTGGATAAATTATGTTGAAGGTCAAAAAACAATATGAATAAAACGTTATTTCTAGGATTGCATCTGGTGCCGAAACGCATCCAATCTTGAAACTCCTTTTAAGAAAAAATATGAAACACATCCTTTCACTAACATTTGTATTAGCTTGGTCTTAGCGTACCTTAGCCTCTTATAATAAATCAAATTTTCAATATTGGAAAATCCAAGCCCGCACTCCTAGCCATCAAATCAAAATCATGAGAATATACCCCAAACATTATTGCCGCCCAGGACCTCTCCCATTTTCTACATCAAGCGAAATGTTCTTTTGCTAGTAGAAAGTAAACGCCCGATACCTTATATGGAGGAGAGGGTCGTTTATTTGACTACGTTTATTTTCTTAGCATATAATTTATATTCACGAGGATATAATATCCATTTGCCAAGAGTTCATATAAGAGTATCACTGGAAGATTCGGTTTTATCTGCAAGCAAAATAAGTAGTTTCTTAGGAGTTGGGTGAAGTTGGCACCCCCCCCCCCTTTCTCATAAAATCAAATGACATACACCAATGTTTTGCCCACGTTTTCCCAACCTTTAAAAATATTTGCCCAAGTCACACAATGCTTTAAATTGCAAATCAATTTTTTCACTTTAAAGAGACTAGCAGCCCTACCATCGAATTTCAAACACTATAGTTTTGCACATTTCCCCCTTTTTGTTAGAAGTTTTTCCCGTCACCCAATGCCGAAAATTGCAAATCAAAATTTTGGACTTACACTTACTATAGCTTTCCTACAAGGTAATTTCGAACATGCCATCGTTTTGCCCACGATGCGTCCTAGTTCATAGAGCCATACAAAAGTTTTGGCTAAGTCACACATCACCGGAAATCGCAACTGGGGGAAAACGCAATTTGTTTTGCGATTTCAGGCGTTGTGTGGCTTGAGCAATACTTTTTAAAGGTTGTGCAAATTTGGGCAAAACTTTAGTGTATGTCATTTGATTTTATGAGAAAGTTTCTAGAAAAGTTTCTTAGAAAGAAAGAAATTATGGTCCGCTGTAGAGCCAGCAAGGCTCAATATTTCTGCAGGGGACTTCCAACGACTTGTTGAGTGCATTCTACGACGAGTTTCTGAACTCTGACTCGATACTAGGAGGTACTCCATGACTTTTTTCACCTCATTGTAATGCTCTATCACTCCAAATGCGCATTACGCATTACTCCAAATGCGCACGAATTACTCTTGTATTTTAGGGTGCAAGCAGGGAAGTGTGCATTATTTTCATCTGTAATAACTTCGTCGACTTCAACTTCATTTAAACTTTCTTTGGTATCTTCATCCCCTTGGTTATTTTTAGAAGCTTCCTAACTTTCAACTTATTGATATAATAGTCTTACTCAAAAGATTTTCTACTAATACGTGGCCGAACATTAATGAAAGATATAATTTCTTCCGTTTGTCTTTGTTAACAAAAGCAATCAACTGACATATTTTGTCCAAGGTATCATCTGGAAAGTTCTCCTTCATTTTATCAAATATTTTAGAGTCGAACACAGCCAAATCCAAATAAAAACATTTGTTTCACAAAACGATTTTCCATTGTTTGGTTTACTGTGTCTACAACACTGTAAAATACGTTTAAGGCCCATTCACATTGCAAACATAAACATAACGCATAGACGTAAACATTAACATAAGAGATAGACTGAAGTATTCACGATGTCTAACGTAAACTTAAGCAAAATAAGAGTTTCTATTGGCTATGAGACATTCTAGAATACTATTGGTTGGATGTGAGAATCGATTTCGAGGTATCGACTGTGTCCATGGCCCATTGGCGTTAGTTCGTCTTCGACTTTCGATTTTCGATTTTGAGTTAACGTACTGTGATTGGTTCATTTCTTATGTCTTACTTAAGCATAAGCACAGAATTTTGAGGCTTGCAAGTTTTTAAGTTAACGTCTTGCGTGTTATGCTTACGCATGCGAACGCATTGTGTATGAGTCCGCTTATGGACGTAGTCCTAACTTTTATGTTAGCACCATTCTTATGTTTATGTTTGCATTGTGAATGTGCCTTTACTCTGAAAGCATCTTCAGGGAAGGACGTAAATGTTCTTCACTACATTCCTCTCCAGACATATTTTTATTTTCTTTAATCGTATTACCTTAAATTAGTTTCAATCAGCTTATCTTTAATGCTTTCGTTTCACTTGTTTGAATTTCAAAATATATTTCTTTGCTACTGCCGGGGTTTCATCAAATGTATTCCATAGGGCTTTCAGACTTAAGATATCTTTCACTATCTATCTCCAGGCACCATCATTTCATTAAACAGGGCGGCAACAAAGTATTTCAATAGCATAAATTACTTTGTGATACTCATTTTAAGGATCAATATTATTTAAATGTATATTCCAAATTTAAATGTATATCCCGAAAACTGTAATAAGAGGGAGCTGTTTGATATTTAAAGCGAGGACGTAGGTGGACACGCCCACTTTCCCCTGGTCCAGTTTGTATTTTCTGACACAGGAAGCGAGTAAAGGCTCCCACAGAACATACGCACTAGGTGCGGTGCGGAAAGTTCCGCGCTAGACGCGGCGGCGGAATCCGCGGGACTATTCACACCGGAGCGTCAATTATGACTGAGCGGTTAGTGACATTTTTCCTCGCCCGATAAACAAAACACGCTTGTTTCTTTTCATGCACGAGGTAGAAAATGCCGTATTACGTGTTCTGAGCACCTGCGGTACAGTGCTTTTATCTCCGATTTTCCATCAAATTGCTAATATCTTTGTAGGCAACGAATAAAAGGGGTTCATGATTTTGATCTAGAAAGGAAAAAGTACGGAGAATTTCATAACTTTTATGCCAAAAACGACGAGAAACGCTTTTGTATTTACTTAAATGCCCAGTGACTGTTTTGATAAAATTTTGAATCTGATTGCAGAAATCATTAGAAAATCTGAGACTTAAAAAATCGAAGTTTAATGTTATTTAAAATTAGTTAAATTACTATACACGATTAGAAGTAATTTTCTGACCGTTCAGTCGTATCATATTCACTGGCGAGGTAAAAATATTCGACATCTAACGAGTCTTTGTGTTGGGTACCACAGTAAATCTCGAGCGGCAGTTCCTCGCGAAGGCGAGGGAGCTCGACCCAGAGGGGAGCGAAGACTCCCGAAGGCGGGCGGACTTCCACGAAACTCGAGGGGCAGCGGAAAAAACGCGTCTGACTGCGTTACAATATCCGCCGCGGATTAAACGCTGCCAATCCGCTGCCGCGACGCTCGCCTGCCGCGCAGGTCTGAACGTGTTCATAAGGCAAGTCGCCAGAGTGACGCAAAACTTCTGATGCGGCCATTCCGCATTGGATGTGGATTTTCCCCGCCGGTCTGTGGTAGCCTTAGCCTGTGGGGCTAGTTCCTCTAAATTTCCTGATTTGGGAGGGTAATAAACGATAGGCAATATACACTTATTTCTGCAAGATTAACTTCAGCAATTAAATATTCAGAGAAGTGTTTTTTATGATTTGCTGAAGATGAAATAATTTTTTAATTTAATTTGGCACTTAAATACAGACACCACCGCAGTGTGAAGCAACGTTAGATTTTCTATCAGATCTCCAAAAACAGAATCCGTAGTTTATATAAATGTATATGTAAGTTACGATATGAGTTGGTTTCGTGTAATTTTGCGCGTAATACAAGAATGCTAAAATCATTGTTTAACAATTTTGTTTCTTAGGAACCATTCCAATTTTTTTCTTTAAGTTTTCTCCTCATATGTTATAAAGGAACGGTAAAAAATATGGCGATAGTCCCACTTTCTCCAATCTATTTTTTCGAAATTTGCAAAATATTGTCATTTCAAAACTACAAAATTGAAGATAGAGATTTTTCCTCGCACAATGTCTGTTGTAAAAATAAGCTCTTTAAAAAAGGTACAATGTTTTGAAAAAAATAGTAGTTCTTGCGTAAATTGTGGTTGAAATTTAAGCAATTTCTAAAAAAATATATTCTCAAAATCCACTCCAAATTTATTCTTTAAATTTGTTCCGCGTATTTTTCGCAATTTTTTTGAAAATTGCAAATTTAGAAATAATGCGAGAAAGTATGTGCCGTTCTTGGTGCATTAGTTTAATGATAAAATAATCTTTTTCCTTTTTCAGTTACATCTCTTCATCGACAGCCCTTAGAATAAAAATCGTACACCAGTCTGATTATACTACTTACGGCAAGTTTTTATGATATAGTAATATTTTTCCTGTTTCAGCTCTTTATCAACAATGAATTCGTCCCCTCTGCCTCTGGCAAGACATTTCCTACGATAAACCCAGCCACAGGGCAGAAGATCATCGACGTAGCTGAGGCTGACAAGGTACGAATGCGTCGAAATGTGTTGAGAGCTGATGTTGGGCATTACTTCGCTCTTTCAAATACAAATAGTTGGCTAACGTCCGTTCTCCACAGGCCGACGTGGATGTCGCCGTAGCGGCGGCCAAGCGAGCTTTCCAGAGGGGTTCGGAGTGGAGGAACTTGGACGCTTCTGCCCGAGGCCGCCTCCTCAACAAGGTGAGCTAACGACTTCCTTTGTGTGCGCGCCGGCTGCATTTCCGGTTCCCGTGCGTACGAAACTTCGCGTGCAGACAAACTGTGCGCAGCAGCACTCGCCAAAAATAAGTAACAAATTGCTCTTGCTTGTAAGTTGACCTACTCTCGATTAGGCTGCATAACAATGTCGTGTTGCTTGAGTAACATGCAACATCTACTTTGCGAAAATAATGAGCGAAACCCCTGATGTGGTTATACGTACGTAAAATATTACGTACATTACTGCTTTAAACTAATCAATTTTGATACACTCTGGCATCTCTTGTTCCAAATAGTCTTCTTCTATAAGTTATTCATTTCTTAAATATGTGTAATTATTGTGTCGTCTACTCATGTGTTTTATGGATTCATTTATATTGAATGTATCACGTATTACTAATTTCGTATGCATGCAGAATTTGAGATAAAAATAAGCCACCTATAGCCATGAGAATTGGTCGGTGAAATCATTAGACGCCCAGAATCTCGCGAAAAATACAAAAATAATTAAATAGTTTCATATCTGTCTGAAAAATGCAAATATTTGATTGTGTTGTTTTCCTGTGGGCTTTCCGTACTGGGCGTGTTATCAGAATTCTCGTACTTAGTACATCACTTAGGTCTTAGTACTTAGTGCAACACAGCAGATGTCATGCAACAACAAGGCTCCAAGAAAAATGTCACCCACCATTAAATATTTGCTATTAACTTTTTGCGTGAAATTACTGCAGAAGCTGCGTTAGCCCAGTTTTTTAAAAACATGTAATAGAAGAGTGTAGAATATAATACTCGAGAGTATTTTATTTGTATAGTGTCTATTATTTAAATCTGCCGCATCCAGCCAACTCCCGCCCGGCCGGGCTGCCCGGCCACCCGCGTGCCTAGCTGCTCACCATTATTTACCATTCTGCGTAATTAATAAGAAATTAAATCATTCTGCATGAGATCATATATCTTTTTGTGGTACTACCGACTATTGTAGCGCCAGAATAAGAGAAACACTTCCATTAACAAAGTCGAAAAAATACAGGACCGGTCCCAACATCTACATAGAATGAGTAGTGACCGCATCCCAAATCAAATAATATCACTACCAACATCGTGGTAAAAGAGATATCAGCAGCTCAAAATTAAGATGTCTTGAAGACGGTACAAGATGTTCTAACCCCTGAAGGGATGATGATGACGATCGAAGAGCTAATCTTTGGTGGGCTAGGTGAATAAGTGATCATGATTGTCACTTACATTTAGGAAATATCCAGTTTCGATTCAAACAACTCGGATTTCAACAGAACGATGAACATTAATTTGACTGAGCTCATATCTACTACTTCTATTACAAATTTACGGTGAGATAAATAATAGTAATACATGTAACAATAATTATATTACTTTGAAGTTGATTGTAATATCAGAAACATATGTATTTTTGCAAACATTTTGTAGAAATAAATAAATGTAATTTTGTAGAAATGTATAAAAGCATTTTTTTGAAAAGCTGTAGCTCATTTGGTTTCGAAAGAAATGTCTTATACAAAAGTTGTAAGAAATATTATTCTCTTTAAAATTAATGTAAATAAATTTACTTTCTCGCTACGGAGTAAAGAGTAATGCTGCGTGAAAAAACAGTGATTTTTGGGCAGAAAATTCTTTATTACAAGAATAAGGGGATAAATCTATTTGCTCAATTTATAAACAATAATCTAATACGTTCTGTATCCAAATTTTGAAAAAAATGGCTCCATGGCATTTGATTTAACTTTATGGGATAGTGTGAAGGACATTTAAGAGAATTATGCAGGTCTCATGTTCGTTGAAAACCCTGAATTTTCGAAAATTGCAAAAGTTTAACATTTTTTCGGAGTCTTCCTACAGCTAAAATATTAAAGATACAAATTTTTCCATTAATGAAATCTGTTCCTTAAAGATAGATTTTAAAATACATTCATGTACAATGTTTTGAAAATTTGAGTACATTTCGCGTAATTTTTTGTGCAAATACGGGTGAGAAAGTACGTGCTGTTTTAGCATCATGAATTTCTACATAACTTAAAGTTAACGGGTTATAGAGAAAAAAACGAAAAAAATACTGTTTTTCGGTCCTCCCGGAGTTAGCACAGGGTCTGGGAGGTAGAAAATTTGGGGTTTTTAACTAGTGCCTGAGTGCATACAATATATTACATTTTTTGATCACCTTTTCCAGGAAAATGAACTTGCCGACTGGACTCCTAGTATGAGTATATAATATATTGTATTGTATTAGATTTATACTCGTAGTATATTCTTTTTTTAATTTTAATCTAATGATTCTCATTTCCAGTTGGCAGATTTGATTGCTCGGGATATTGAGTATATTGCCAGTGTGGAGACTCTCGACAATGGTAAAACGTACAGGGATTCAGTTTTTTATCTACAATGCGCCATCGACACTTTTCGTTATTATGCTGGCTGGTCTGACAAGATTCATGGAAATACCATTCCTGCGGGTGAGTTTCTCTATTGACAGCTTATTTTTTATGTTCATCGTTTTGTATTATTTTATTGTTTAATTCTTGGTGACAGAGCAGTATTAATATCTTTATGGGCATAATCAAACTATGGGGATATGTAATATAAACATATATGTAATCAAAATAAATACAAAAGTAAACTGCAACCATGGAATTTTTATTGTTGGTTATTGTTATTATTATTATTATTATTATTATTATTATCATCATCATCATCATCAAATGTTGCGGATCCCGGACCCTCTCAATTTTTTGGAGGAATGGGTGGAGGAGCCAGCGCTTCAGTGCCCAGACACCACCGTTTATTATTTTAATTTATTTGTGCAAAGAAATGCGAGAAAAGAAATCGGAAGCCGCAATGCAAGCTTTTCGGTTCCAAAAATTCAGTGACCTGAAAACTCAAATAACAGGTTCAGTCAAGACAAACACTGGAGATTCGTTACCAGAGGAATATTTAATTGATTAGTAAAACTTAAAATGTTTTAAACTTGCTCCAAGAATATAAATTTTAAGAAAAAAGAATTTAAAAATAAAAAATGTCTAGACCAAAGTCCAAAAAAGGCAAAATAAAAACTCTTCAGAATGTTTGGTTTTCCATAATTCATATACATACATTAATTGCCTTTACACATTTTCATTAGAATAAAATAGGCATTTTTCTGAACATCTGAAGTCTACTTATGAGTATCACGTGTAAGCCCTGGATTTCAGATTCTCTCGATTTAAAATTGGTTTTTCAGTCAGTTGTAGTTTTTTTAACAGGTTTAAAATATAATTTACAGAATTGAAATGTTTGAAGCAAAAGAATTATTCACGTAGCCCAACTTACTGATCTCCCCAGGGTATGCCTACATGTGAATATTTTCCCCGGTCGATTTCTTAGTGATTCCGGGCGCGTCAACTGCTGAAGTCATTAGTTCCGTTAGTGCAGTGCGTGTTGTATCGCGGAAGGTGGCGGTGATTTTCACCCACTGAATGTCAATATCAGGCGCCGACTTAGGTCAGTTAGCGGGGATTTTCCCAACCATGTATCTCTCACCAGCGGGGCACAGGCCCCAGCCGGGCAAACTCTACGCTCCCAACCGGTCTTCTGGCATATGTGGTAGTGTAAGTGTGTGTAAAGGGTGAGGAACAAGGAAGAGGTAGGACAGATCGTGCTCGGTCTGTGGCCCATTTGATAGGGTACTACCGCAAAATTCGCCTGGTGGTGATACGAGAAACCACGGAAAACAGATCAGATGAGCCGGCCGCTGGAATTCTCCTCCAGAGAACGACTGATTTCGACCTAGCTGACAGTCTCGAAAACCCGGCCAAAATCCTGCCGTCGGGACTCGAACCTACGACGCCGAGGTCAGAGGGACTGCAGTGACATCACTTTGATGCCCTAAGCCAGCGGCGGATCCAGGGGAGGCGCAAAACACGCCCATTAACAATAAGTGCAAAGTGTGAACATTTCTGCGAAATCGGTAGAGTACTTTCTGCGTCTAAGTGCTACACACATTCCCTTATATATATATATATATATATATATATATATATATATATATATATATATATATATAAATAATACCACTGTTTGTAAATGTGGAGATTTTTTCTGGAGAAGGGGTGAGGGATTATTTGCCTGGGGGGAGCCTAAAGCACCTAATTGCAGCCCAGAGCCCCGAGATGAAACATTTTTCGTACTTGTATTCATTGACGAGGAAACTGCTCTGTAATATAGAAGGATTAGAGTATGTATTTTGTTGCAAATTGTGTTATGGAAAATGTCCAAAATCTCTTAGGTGGCTCAGGGCATCAATTGATGTCACTGCAGTGCCTCTGACCGGGAAGTCTTAGGGTTCGAGTCCCAATAGCAGCAGGATTTTCGACGTTACTTAGATTGGTCAAATTCAGCCGCTTTTTGGAGGAAACTTCTAGCGGCTGACTGCTCTGGCCTATAGTTTGCCGTTGATTGATTTTTAGCGATTACGGGCGCGACTAACTGCTAAGGTAATTAGTCCCGTAAGTGTAATGCATGTTTTTTGCTTGTGCGGTGGCGGTGATCTTCCTCCACTGAATGGCGAGTGCCGGCGACCTACCGTCGGCTAGCGGGGTTTTCCGCAATCAGGTATCTTCCACCAGCAAGGCCCCGTCCTTACCGGAAGAAGCTCTAAGCTCCCGGCCCATCTCCCGAGTTTGGGGTAGTGTAGTGGATGTTAGTGGGTGTGTAAAGGTTGAGGATAGAACAAGGAAGGGGAAGGAAAGTTCGCGCACGATCAGTGGCCCTTTAGGTAGGGTACTGCTCCGGCATTCGCCTGGTGTTGATTGGAGGAACCACGGAAAACTATCACCGGCTACGTGTCGGGAGCTTAGAGCGTGTCCCGACTGGGACAGTGCCCCGTGGGTGGGAGATACCCGGTTGAAGAAACCCCTGTATGCCGACGAGTAGATCAGTACCGGATCTCGTAATCCAGCGAGCATCCCCGCCACCTCCTGGATAAAAAATGCACTACACTTATGGGGCTAAGCAGTTACGTACACGGAAACATCAATCAATTAACTGAAAATCTCAATGAAATATTTCTATTTAAGATTGCATGCAGAAACATTTTGGAAGAGCTCTGAAACAAAAAGCAAAAGCAATGAAATGCAAAAAGACTTTCAACAAATTTGTTACTCTACCATTTTCATTCATTAATCCAACATTTTCGTTGTTCTCTTCTCAAGCCATAACACTGAAATGAATCATTTAGATTAATATAATTGCTCTTAGGGCTTGAATTTTTTCAATTCAGATCAATTTGAAATTAATTAGTGCTGAACTATGATGTGTAAAATGTAATATGTAATGTAATGTAATGTAATAATAATAATAATAATAATAATAATAATAATAATAATAATAATAATAATAATAATAATGTAATATGTAAAATGTTTTGTGTTTAAAATATGTGGTCAAATATCGAAGAGGTAGTCTAAAAGATCTGTGATATGTAAATATTCCTCAAATAGAGTATATTAAAATTTTCATAAAAATAATTAAAGGACTTTTTTATTGTGAACTTTTCATCCATTTTTTCAGATGGCACTTCTTTTACATACACAAGGAGAGAACCAGTTGGTGTTGTAGGGCAAATCATTTCTTGGAACTATCCTGTACTTATGTTAGCTTGGAAATGGGGACCAGCACTAGCTACTGGTTGCACTCTTGTTCTAAAGCCTGCTGAGCAAACTCCCCTTACTGCATTGTACTTAGCAGCTTTAAGTAAAGAAGTGAGTAATGCATCTTTTGAATTCCTTTCTCTCTCTCAAATTTAATGTACATATAAACTCTTCAAATTAAATAATATTTTTGTAAAGAAGTGATGAAAAGAGTAATAAATTATACTCCCACAGTTGTAATAATGTTGAGGAAAAAATATTCAGACATCAGTGACAGTAAGAAGAAACAGTGACAACAAACCTCCAATTAAGAAATGTTAATATCTTGATTTTGGTCAAATTCCATTTCATCTTGTTACTACCTAAAGACTTTCATAAATATAAACAAGATATGCCAAGTTTACTCCAAAATCTAGATATTAACACTTACGAAGGGTGGGTAGTTTGCTAGGACTGAAGTGACTTATGTATCACTACCTCAAGCTATTGTTATAATGGATTTTTTCTTCATGTTTATTTGATAAAAAGTGGAATAATGATGTGTGGCGAAATTGAAATATTTGTACATATATGCAATATATTTTGAAAAGTTCTTTAAAATAATTTATTTTTATGAAGAACAGTGGACTTTAAAAAATAGTTTCGATTTCTTGAACTAAACTGAAAATATTGCACTATTAATTTTTTTTCTTTACAGGCAGGTTTTCCACAGGGTGTTATCAATGTATTGCCAGGTTATGGACCTACAGCTGGTGCAGCAATTTCTTCTCATCCTGATGTTAACAAAGTAGCCTTCACTGGATCAACAGAAGTAAGTTTTGAGACTCAATCTTGAAAACAAATGCAATAATGTGAATGCGTTAATATTTGCTGTTTTTTTATTGTTAGGTTGGTCATTTGATTATGGAGGCATCTGCAAAATCGAATCTGAAAAGGGTGTCTCTGGAGCTTGGAGGAAAGAGTCCTTTGGTCATAATGGATGATGCTGATGGTAATAAAAAATATTTGACGTAGTTGCTTTATAGATATTCATGCAGTAGAATTGCAAGAGGAGAGGGTGAGGGAGGGGGTGCTGAGCTTCATCTTCGAAGTGTGGCTGACCTAAAGACAGGGTCCAATTCCCAAAGGTTAATCCTAGCAGGACCCCCTTCAGTCACAGTTTCAATCCTGTGCTCAAATTGCCTTCTGCCATCACAAACTAAATGTGCAGGTGAAGTGTTTTTGAAAAAAAAAAAATTATATACATTTTTACCAAAAATATAGATGATCTAAATCAAATCCTTAAGTTTATTTATTCACATATGTTTATTTATTAGGAATATTTATTGTATAAGACCACTAATATATGAAGTTTCAGTATACAAAATTAAAAAGTATATATTAAATTTGAATAACTAAACATTCAAAATAATGTTACCAGAAAGTCTTGCACTTATATCAAAACAACATATAAATCTGAAATACAGTTTTTAATTTGCCCTCTAATATACCAACCTGTAGGTAAAATGGTAATGGAATATATTTGAAATTATCCCTCTCATTTGGTTTTTAAACAAAGATGAAGTGTGTAAAGGAGGCCCCAAGTTATCATTGTATAATCTAGAAAGTCTAGGAATTCATGAACCATATGATGTCCTGTAGGGCAAAATAATCCTATTTAAAAATATGGTTATCACATAAAGCATAATTGGGAGGGAGATCAATCAATGTATATAGTTTTAGTTAATGAATATTATTATTAATTACATTTTGCAATACAGGCATCATTAGAAGTCCATTTGACTTTTATGAACTACTTAGATTTGTCTGCTCATGAACTTCATGGTGGTTATGATCTAAGACCAGATGAGGTATATCTCAGACATGTTATTGCAAATATATCATAACTGTGAACATAAAAAAATTCCTTCCTTCCACTGGGATGAACTGAAATTCACTATGAGTGACAATGTGGAAAGAAATTGTTTATGATACCCAATACATCTGTTTGCTGAAAAAAGGGTGTGATCAAAAACTGAAACATGTACAGGTGAACAATGTATAAATAACATACAGTCTTTACAAAGTTTACTCATGATTTTCCATGGATAATAATGATGCTCAAAATAACAAAGTTTTCATTCATGGTATTATTCATGCAGGTTTTCTTCAGCCCTGGAGTACCTACCCCCACTTCTTCACTAAAATTAATTGAATTAAGAAAAAAAACACAGGACAAGCATTATTGGCAAAATCTAATTACCAGATATGATCACTCCTGTATAATAGAAACTATTTGTAAATAAAATAAGCTACAGATTTGGTATAATAGTCCTGTGGCTAAAATAACCAATCCCCCACTCTTCTCACATATAGCATAATGAGAAAAAGTCAAGAAAACTTGTGTGGATAATACCATTGCATTTTGATGAATTTTTGCTTATCACTTTTAAATTTTATTCAATAATACATCCAACATGAAAATATTAATTTAAAAAAAATGATTGTTTGAAAAATGTTTTACTTTGGTGCACTAAATTAATAAAATTTGCATTTACAGTTGATGAAGCAGTTGAAATAGCCCATGGTGCAATCTTTGCAAATCATGGTCAGAACTGTTGTGCAGGATCTAGAACCTTTGTTCAAGAAAGAATTTATGATGATTTTGTGAAAAAAGCTACAGCAAAAGCTGCTTCAAGAAAAGTTGGTGATCCTTTCAGTGAAGAAACTGAACAAGGGCCTCAAGTGAGTAGACCTTTAATGATATTAATATTTTTGTTTCTAGAAAGATGATTTAGATTTTAGAGTATTTATTTATAGGTATTCTAATTAATATAATATAATATAATATAATATAATATAATATAATATAATATAATATAATATAATATAATATAATTATTTATTCATATTCATATTTATTTGCTCATAGACTTCTACAAAAGGTTTCAAGCTTTATTAATTAAATACAAATACATCACATTATAGTACACAATCCTAGTAATATATAATACAAGTCTAGTGTTAAATGTACATTAATAAAAGCATACAATGTTCTTTGCAAATTATTCATAATATTTATCTAATCTATCAAATCCTTAATTTTATAAGGGCATGCTATAATAAAGTAGTATTTTAATTTAATTTTGAAAAATAAAGAAGAAATAAGATATAAGTATAATGTAGGAGGTATAATAATGGAGGATTACTCCTATAATTAATGGAGGATTACTCCAAGGTGCGCTCAATACTCTTAGGAGCTAGGAGACGCATTGCGTGAATAGACACAACAAATTAAGATGAAAAAAACCATAGAAAAATGATTTTTGGATTTATGAAGATGTATAGAAATTTTATAATTCTAATTTTGCATCTAAATTTTACAATTTTAAGTGCACAAAGGAGGTATGAAAGGAAATGATTCAGTTAGGTTTTGACTTTAGACCTGAAATTTGGATTTTGCTGGAACTTTACTTTTTACTTACTTTTTTTCTTCTTTTTTTTCCTTTTTCTTCCCCCCCCCCTTTCTTTTCTTTCTTTCCAAAAGACATGCACAGATCAGCCCAAATCAAGCCAGTCTTATCACAACACACAATATGAAATTAAATAAAGGCAACAAAGGAACCAACACTACAGGTTCTCTATTCAATTAATGTTGAAAAAATAAAAGCTATGTAACAATTTGAATTTGTAAATCAAAAAAAAATTATTCAGCTAAGAAGAAATTCTAAGGATCATAACTCAATGAAGTAAAGATGAATGCACTCAATATAGTAATGTGAAAGTTGATTTCAGAACAATGTGGAAAATGTTTTGTGAGCAATTTCTGGAATGAAATTTAGAGCTAATTTTCATTAAGAGAGAGAGTTTGAGTAATATTAAGAGTCACTGAGGTACAGCAATTTAGAGAATTTATTTCTTTTAAGTTAATTCTGACCACATAGTTTTTATAAACTTATCGTACTTTTTAATGCCATTTTCATTGTTCAATATTTTGTAAAGATTGTGTTATACAATACAGTGAAAGCATAATGAAATGCACATTAATTATCTTCTCTCCACAGCAAAATTTGATGACGTTTGTTCCATTTTGACATGTCATTGCATGGGTATCTCAAACTTGGAATCCTTCAACAAACTAGTAGAGACCCAAAAGAAAACCTAAAGTTGAAGGAAAAAAAGACAGTCCATGCAGTTTTCAAGAAAGGGTAAACTCACAAAAGATTATGCATAATATAAATGTATGTTAACAGATAAATGTATGTTTTCAGATCGATAATGAAATGTTCAATAAGATTCTGAACTTAATTGAATCTGGGAAGAAAGAAGGGGCTAAACTTCAGTGTGGAGGTCAACGTTTTGGTAATCAAGGATTTTTTATTCAACCCACAGTTTTTTCAGATGTTTCTGATGAAATGAGAATTGCGAAAGAAGAGGCAAGTATCCTGCATTTGATGAAATTCTTGATCACACATCTAATGAGGCTTGGGGTAAAAGAAAATCATAATCATATACCCTTTCAATTACATTTTTTCTTTAATACAGACATTGAAGATTATGAAAATACATTAACTGATTACATATTGTAACTGATTATATGTTGTAACTAGCAAGTTTCAAAGAAAAATGCATAAAAAGCACTGAATTCACACAAATGATAAGTCAATAGAACTGTTGTGGCTAAGATAAAAAGTTATTGTGCTGCTTATTCTCTTGTGCACTTTGGTAGGCTCAACACATTTCGGTAAGTTGTCAGTAGTCTGCCATCATGGGTGTATTCCATTGGCCATTGCCCCTTTATTCTGATATCGACTCCTGTGCCCTTGGTATAAAACCTTTCACTCTGCTCTTCGCCTCTTTACTAGTAACTTATGAAATACTTCTTTGAAGCTAATCTATGTTTTCCTTTCTCGAGTTGTCATACATGCTTCAAATGTTCATCTTGAGTTTGTTATCTGATCTTTGGCCTTTCTGACACCTTCTTTGACCTTTTCTTCTGAGAATGTGGGAAACTTCTAGGTTAAATACTTAAAACAACTTCCATTCTTATCCAATATTTAATAAATTGCTTCATTAATCCTATTTCAATATTTAAGGGAAGTAGAATAATTTTGTTAGTATCTACTAAGATGTTTCTTATAATGTATTTGGAAACCAATATTAGTGCTTCTTCTAGTGTTGTGCAATGATTCTATCTCACTGACACTTTCACAAATGTAACATGGGAACAACAAGTCCCAACTTGTTGTTCTAACTACATTCTCAAACTCTTTAAATCACCACTGAACATCCATTTTTTGTCCTGTATGATTTACTTCTTCAAGTGGCAGTTCACGTTTGCCTTATGTCTCATTAAGATGGATTCAAAGTGCAACTGGGACTAATGCTAGAATGTTACCATGATGTAGGAACAATCGTTTTGAACCTCTCTTCCTTGAATCAATAAAAAAATTAACAGATTTATACTCTTCTCCTAACTTGATTTAAAGGTTTGGAATGTAAATGCTATGTACTAAGGAATCTTCCTAATCAAAACACTGTTTTATGCCTTTATCTCGATGTCTATGAACTGTAACATGTTTCTGGAGCTGGCAGATTGTTTTCTTTCAGCCATGAAGCTAGAACTTTATAAGTGTCCTTTGAGATATTTAAATATTTGACCAAATAATTCAGTTTATATTAATATGCAATTTTGTGTCAAAGGTTTGGGTTTGTCTTCAGTGCTTTTCGAATCAGATAATTCAGCTGATTCAACTCACATTGAACTTGAATCAGAATCCAGTATATCAAAGTTTGAAGCAGATTCCAGTATAGGAATGTCAATTACATGTTGTTCAGCTCAATCAGAATTGTTGTTCAATCAGAATAAACCATACCTTCTTTTTTCTTTGAAATGAAACTTTTTCTTAGCAAATTAAAAAATAATAATCATCTAGTGATTCCTTGGCTCAGGCCATACCAAATGAATTCCAAAACTCAATGGCTTCCTCTTTCCTTTCACTAGTTTTTTAACTTCATCTTTACAACATAAATACTGGACATGGATGAGACAATGGGTCTCCCCAGGTTTTATTGATACTCCAGCCTCATTTCAAAATAAGCATTATAAACACTTTTAACTAATGATGTTGTGATCTGGCTTTTTGCAACTATTTAATGTCCACAAATATTTTTACTGAAAATACAATTACTTAATTTATTAAAAACTGCTATCTGATAGGACAAAAACAAGGGCATTTTTTTAATTCAGAAGGTCAACTGCCATACACAACAAGTGGTAAACAGTACTTTAGGAGACTACAAAGTGATTTTACAAAGATTCTGAAGGGGCCACGACGTGAAATTTTGTGCTACGTGCGATTGTCGCCATTGTTGCTGTCCCATAAAGGAATTGCATTTAGTTTCTCTGGTATTTGTTATTGTCATTTAGACACACTGTATTCTTGGAATCCAACAACACGTTTATCAAAGATTAGATCCAGTACTAAATTATTTTGTGAGTGTGAAATTCAACAAATAAGTTACATAGGAGAGTCCCCTTCAGTGTAACCCTTTTACCAAAAAAATATGGGGAGAGGAAACAAGACCCCCCTGTGGTAATGCCATTGGGTCTTTTTATTTTACAAAGACAAAAGTTTAACAATTCAACATCTCTTTCTGAGTAACTGCTAATGATTTAGACAAGAACGTATCCCTTCTTTTCTCTTTCAATTTCAAACTAAGGACCATATGAAATACACTGCTTACCCAGTTTTCTTTCTTTATCATCTCCTGCCTTTCTGGAATTTCAATACTTTCATTTTCTCTTCTCTCTGTCAATTATATGGTGATCCTTGTCTTTCTCCTGGAAGCCTTCAGTTTTGTGTTAATGTTCTACAAATTGATTTGCGCTATATTTTTAGACAGTGCATTTCTGTCAACAATTTATGATCACCTCATCAAAATTTGATTGAATTTAACCAGATAAAATGAGAAACCTATTTTTATTTTTTATTTTCCATTCTGGTTTCTTTTAGCTAATACCTTTAAACTGAAATGAACAGTATGTTTCTTTGAATAACAATGGCAGTTTCAAAGAAAACATAACTTCAGAATAATATATTTGTCTCTAATGTCATAAGAATTAGAATATTAGACAAAGAAAAATATTTTAGTACCATAAACCAGGGTCACTTTGTGCCATGCAGGTGATTTTGTGTCACTGAGCCTTTTGCTATTGCCTTAAATTATGTTGTGTTGTCTCTACCACAGGCATTGGTGTCTTCATAATGCACCAGATGAGTAGAGCTATCTATTACACCATTTAGGAAATGCATTTTCATTTTTGTGTTCCCAGGTTTTTAGTTCTTAATTTTGCATGAATTGACAGTGTGCTTATGTACCTCAATAAAATTTGCTTTGCATCTCAGAGTATAGTAACTTTAAGGACAATAAAGTAAGTGTTCAGTTTTACAGCATTATTTATTCACCTAGTTCTGTAGTATCTATTCTCTGACTTTATTTTTTTTGTTTTTATTTTTGGGATTGAAATAAACTAATGGAAAATGAAGTGGTATCTTTGTGCCTGTAGTTTTGAATATTTAAGGTGATACTTTCAAATTTTTGCCACATCACTTTAAATTAGTTACATTTAGTCTATTATGAAAATGGAAAATTGTATGATTAACAATCAATGCAGTGATGATTTGCCCAGTAATAGCACTCGCAAATCATTATATTCACAATCCATAATAGCAGGAGAATTGAAACAATACAGTATGAATAAGAATTGTTTACTAGGCAAGTCACACTCATTGAAAGTGATTAGGCACAGGTAAATGTCTTGCAGAAATTCGCAGGTTTTTGAAAATGGCCACAGAATAGGAATGTCATTTTTTACTAGTGTAAAGATATACTAATACAGAAAATTCAAAACCTAGAGTTAAAATCAAAAAGAGGAATCCTCGCTATTCCAGAGCTAAAAAGCATTTGGGGGAAATGATACGCTTTTATCATGACCAATGTCAAAATGTTTACTTAATAACTTAAAAAGCATTCATAAATATTTTTTTTAAACTTTGTAATACTGTTTGATTCATTCCTTGCTACAAAGCAATGAATGAAGGGGGGAAACGTTGCTGCACATTGTGCAGCATTGAACACTACACAATAAATGAAGTGGCATAAAGTCACAGTTTGTCCCAATAAATGAAGTGGCAAAAGTAACATTTTTTTGTTCAAAGATACGTATTTCAATAATTATTACCACATGAAACAGACAAAGCTTATTTTAAAATTTTGTATACTGCTATAACTTTATTAATTAAATGAAAAACAAATAAGTTATTTACTAAAATCTTCCCAAAGTGGCACAAAGCCACCCTCAGTTTACAGTATTATTAAATTAACAAATATCTTCTTTTTCTTCTTTTTTTTTTTTTTGAGGGAAAGAAATAAAATACCAAAAATTTAATTCCAAAAAATTTTCTTCAGCCTCCTTTCAAATCTTTATTAGAATATCATATGGGAATGAATTGAGTTACTGAAATGAGTGTTACAGATTTTTGGCCCAGTGCAATCTATTATCAAATTCAGAACTTTGGATGAAGTAATTGATCGAGCTAACAAAACAACTTATGGCTTAGCAGCTGGCATACTTACTAAAAGCATTGATTCAGCTTTGGTGTTTGCACAGGCTGTACAAGCTGGATCAGTTTGGTAAGATTATCTGACATTGCTATTAGATAAATTTGTTAAACTCTGTACGGGAAACATTCACAAGTTTTATTTTTCAGGGTTAACCGCTATGATGGTGTAGTTCCACAGGCTCCATTTGGAGGTTTCAAACAATCTGGCCAAGGACGAGAGTTGTAAGTATTTTTGCAATTTCAAAAACAGATTTGTGTTAATGTGACATAGGTACATTTCAATTGCACCTGCAGTGTAACATACTTCATTTTGAATTTTGATAAAAAATAATCAATCTTGCTTTTAATAGTTTCTCACAGAAAATAACAATAATAAAATAATAATAATAATAATAATAATAACAACAACAACAACAACAACAACAATAATAATAATAATAATAATAATAATAATAATAATAATAATAATAATAAATATTTAGTGCACAAATTTAATAGTTCACTTTCAAGGGTTGCCAATTTAAAACTCATTTCAAAATTGTCTATTTCCGTTTAGGCACACTTTGTATTTATTAATGTAGGGAGATACAGGAATTTAGAATAATTTCCTAAAGAGCCCTTTGAAGTTTTCAGACAAAAAAATCTCCCTTTAATATTTCCTTAAGTATACTGAGTATCTCCAAATAAACATTACAAATTTCAAGAGCATGTAGTAGAGAGATAAGATATTTACTTTTTACCTATGAATATTTGGTAGAAAATCTCGTAATAAAGTTACCAGTTTTCATTTGTTCTTCGTTGATAGCAAATTCAAACATGCCCTGGTGTAGGTATATGAAATCTCTTGTGAGTTACCTAATAAACACCAATGCACAATGAGTTGCTTATCAATCATGGTCAAATATCCCACCAATAACATAACTATTTGAAATTTCTTACTAGATGTTTATTGGCAAAAAGTTGTCATCTTTCACCCCTGCACATGACTTACCAGTTTGTAATATTTATTCCAAGACTTTGGGTGTACATGAAGTAATGCAATAAAAATGTTTTTTCTACTTCTTGGAACATCAAGTTCTTGTCAGTATATTACACAAGAAGGTCATTACATTTATTGAAGTATTGTCTAGCCTTTCTTCAACAATAGACCGGGTGTTTCCTCTATTGGTAATTTTTAAGTACAAGAGTCATTGAAATTTCTGGTTTAATTTTCAGAGGAGAAGATTCTCTCAAAGAATACTTGGAAGTCAAAACAGTTTCCATTAAATTGTCAGTAAAGAACTGAGGTTCATATTGCTGTGAATTCCTACAAGAGGATTGCAAATTGAACAGTGTTCTCTTGGTGTTCGATGTTCATAAATGTTATGAATATATTCAGTAATCAAATTAATTTTTCAATTGTTATCACTTTCAAACGTTATGCTTTGAAATAAACATTATCCTTTAAATATTTGTACCCACCCAGACAATCAATATAAACCAGTGACCTGCAGATGTAATGCTGTATGCCTATAAGACATGCGGAAATGTTAGAAATATGGGTAAATTAAAACCAAAAAAAATCTTAGTGTACTATTCAAAATTTCTTTGTAATTTATTTAAGTTTACTTAGCAAATGTTTTTATTTAAAATAGAATGTAGTGTGAACAGAGTTGAGTTAATTACTCTTTGAAGCAGTTTATTATATTGAAGCATGATTATGATGAAAAACTCCACATGGCTTGTTCTAAAATCCCTCGGCTTCGGGTTCCTGAATTTGTAAGACCATAAAGACTGGTACTTACAATCTAAGAACTTCAAGTGATTTCTTATTAAGTTTCCCAAAAACTCAAAAAGTTTTGAGCATATAAGCTAAAAATTGTGCATTTTCAGAAATGCTCAAACATTTTCTCAAAAACAGCTACATATTTTTCAATGAAAATTTGCATGCAAGACCAGGTTTTATTCTTGTATAATGTTCTTAAAGTTATATTTTTATTCACCTATTAGGGTACCACAAAGTGGAGAGAAAAAATTCTTTAGGTGTCGATAAGAGGTAGAAAAGGCAGGAAGTGTGGGGAAGGGGGTCAGGCAATACTGAGAAGCAGACTGAAGAGAGTGGAAAACTAACAAGGATGAGAAAGTTTGTAATATTTATTCTGTTCTTAATAATAATTAATATTCTTTTCTGTAGCACCGCTAGTTTACTTTCTCACAAACTACTTGTGTAGTACAAAGGAAGTATTGTAGTTCTGCAGAGAAAATGGTGATTTTTCAACAGAACTCATTTAGTGGGTACCTTATAATGAAAAGGTGATGATTCTTGTTCTATATATTGTAAATAACTCCCTCAGACACATCAGGAAGTCTGAATCCAACCAGGATCCGCAAGGATCCTGGTTAAAAATCGAAGAAAATTGGTTTACGGCAAAATGTGTGTCTGCCCATCCTAGCTTTTAAGCTAACTTTTGAGGAATCAGTAAACAAATGACATTCCTCTGACTTTAGCAAGCCCTAGTCCTAGTCATAGACATGTAGGGAGGCAGGGCAATTATCACAAAGTAGGGACTATCCCTACAAAATCAGCATGTGAAGCATCCTGAGTGGACTATGGTTCCACCTTCACTAGTTAAACACATCACATTACAAATTGATTGCAACCTGGTGCAATTATTTATTTTTCATCCAAATAATAACAATATCTTAATGACAATTGAAAAAATAAAAAAAAATTACATGAAAATTGATAATAATGGTATGTTGCTATAATTCTTCCTTACAAATGACCTTCAATGCTTATAATATTGTGACCAATTTATTCCTTTCCAACGATTAAAATACTTATTACATTTCAGAAATCTGTTGTTTCCATTTTTAGGTACAATGGATAATAGTTCAAATTAACACATCTTAAAATTTATAAATGGTGCAATTGACTTTGGCCATAACTATTCAAAAACTATGCTATTCGGCTGAGGGATTCAACAACAAAGGTATCCACGCTGAATTTCATGCAGCACATATATTGTACCATATATAAATTTCAAGAAGTGTTAATTGTAACAATTTTAACTATTTTCCAGTTTTTCTGAAAGCGAAAAGAAAAGGTTTCCGAAACATAATAGATATTTTAATCATGTGAAAGGAATAAATTCATTACAATATTAAGAAATGATTGTCTATAATTAAAAAAATAAATAATAATAATATGCCAACTTTGTGGTGAAGACGGTCGCGGCAGCTGCCGTTCATGCTGAGGAGGCTGCAGGTTTGAGTCCTGTGTAGACATGGTCATATTTGTTATTGTCCCTTCACTCATTATCATCAAATCACCTCATTATTCATAATTCAAGCCATAACAACCTTGTCAATTACGGGATGCAGCAGTAAAAAGCTACTCCTCATGATAACACATGTTAATCTCTCCAAGGCCTGGGAAGACAACATGTAGCATGGTCGTAAATGGCCAATATGCAAATAATAATAATAATAATAATAATAATAGTAATAATAAAACAAAACAATCAGTTACATTTTCTTTCAACCATATACTAATATCTCCAAAAATGTAAGTGGTAACCAAATTTAGATAGCTGGGCTGGATTTCATTTAAAAATATGCAAGAATCATGGAAACGTTCATCTGTGCCAAAATGTGTTGCTAAATGTTTTAGTGATGAGTTGTGATATAATAATTGATAGATATGGTAAATTTTAGCAATTGCTAAAAATGCAAAATATTATCAAAACGCTGAAAAAATTAGTAATTGTATGTTTTGACAGTCAGTGCGGTATATTTTTGAAGGTTTTCAATCATCAATAAAATGTGAAATAACTTACAAAATGTGAAGTGGTTTTGAACCTGCGAATTAATTGCTAAATTGCATTTTATGGTGTCTTTTGTGTTTGCTCTCTAATTAGAGATGCGACATACATACAATACATTGATATTTGAAAAAAATTAATTTAAGAGTGGCAGTGTTTATTAATTTTTAATCAAAATTTAACTGACAAACTAAAGGCAAAAATTACAAGAACAATTAAAAAATCGATCCTGAAAGCCTGAGTGCTCAGAGTCAACTTAAAGAGGCCTCAGCTTCAGCAATTCACTGTTGAGGGAAGAAGAGGACTGCCCTATGCCGTGCACACGTTACTTCTTATGCTTTTATATTTGTTGAAGATAACAAATGGCAAAATATTAAATAAGTTTTCCTTATTTTCTGATTTTAATGCGAAAATCTAGAAAGCATCAAAATAATTTTTTAATCTCAGAGGCCTCCCTTAATAATGATCTCTGCAAATGCTACAAAATGCTTATTCTTAATTTTTATAATGCATTTTTTCAATTAAAGGACTAAATTCTACCATCACTAATAATTGATTACCCAGAAGGTAATATGGGCAACAAGACAGTGACCCCAATTATTAACCCTGCTGCTACCGAGAGCTTTTGTTCTCTTTATACCACACCAAGGAGGATAATTCAATTATCCCACCAAAATATTTGAGAAAACAATTTATCGATACATGAAAATCTTCTAAACATTAATGCCACAGAAAACAAAATATCTAAATTAATATTTCTAGTTGAAACGCATATGCATATGTAGAGGGAAAATATGATTATTAAGTCAGAACATCAAATTGAAGACACAATAAAGTGTTACAGAAAAGGCATCTTTATTGAGCCAAATGAAATAAGTAATTATGTCATGTTCCTTAATAATAAACATAATTTCTCAACATTTAAAGCTATTATTCCATAGTGACACTAAAAATTTCAAAAGGAGCTTCGTAGAACTATATAATAAAACTTTTTTTTTTCCATGATCAATTATTGATTTTTCTCTTTTTTAAATAGACACTTGGGGGGAATTGATTCACAAAAATTAAAAAAGAAACTCTCCCAATCATCTGGCAACCCTATAAATTATTCAACATAAAATCAATTGTATTTGTTAATTGTTTCATTAAATTTATAATTTCATTCTCCTTGCAGAATGTTTTATTTATTTTCTAGAGAAATGTCATATGCAAACAAAGTTTAATGGAAAAGGGAGCCCAGAGGGGCTAGAAAAATGTAGTTATCCCTCCCACCTCTTGGTTTAAGCTGCTCCTGTTTTTGAAGAAAGGTTGGTTGCTATTAGAATTTCAGAGATTCTTCTCAAGCCTAAGTATTAGGCAATGAAGACTATTTCGAATTATTGAATTGAATTAATGTCTTATTTTACGTGGCGAGATTCAGGCCATCAGTCTCGCTCTTCCGTCTGAACACACAAATTTCACTACGCTCCTTTCACCAACAAGCAGAGAAAGGAGGTATTTCTTGGGCGACGAAACAGGCAATCTGGATTTAGCTCAGAGGCGTCATTTAGGCTTGAGGATCTTTTACATGCAAGTAAATCTACAAACACGGGACAGCCTTACTTTCCACCAGAAGGAAGGCGCACGAAGGATTTTCCACCCTTAAAAATCCACAGCGTCAATCGGGTTTGAAACTGTCATCTTGGGTATAAGTCTTGATACGCTTACCATTACACCATTGCCGCTGCTTCTATGACACGACTACCATAAATGAATATGAGCGTCACAATTTAAATAATCCAATAAAATTAGAATTGTAGAATAATTGTTTAAGTTTTAAAATGTAATGACAATTCTTCATTATCACATTTTTGACAGTGTGTTGAGTCGACATAAAAAAATCTTCATTTTGAAAAGAAGAAACACTATTAGAATGAAAAAGAGTCTGCCTAAGGTTAATTTCATGAACTAGGACCCATGAGTCATAACTAGTTTTCTCTCCCCTCTGTGTAGGTTTTCAACAGATTACAATATTAGAAGGACCACACGTTAAAAGCATTATTAGTACAAACTATAGTAATAAGTTTTTATTTTATAACACTAGTTTATACACGCTATTTATTCACAAATAATTTGCACCACATAATAATCACTATTATTCGGAGTTTATAAGACCCAACTCATCGTCATCTTCAGGGATCCCCAATTCTTCATCAGTCCACTTACTGGGATCCGGATACGGAAATTCTCCCTGGAAAGAAAAACAAAAGAAGGTATTTTCACTACAAAGAATGTTTTGTATTAATTTTTTCATAGTTACTGAGCACAATTCAGAGGTTTGGTTTATAAATAATTTTTACATAAGTTGACTGAAATGGTGGTTTCACAGAAAGTGAAGCTTACAAAAATCCTAGTTTATCCTAAGAAAACAATTGCATTTGCTCCAAAACAACTTTTACCTGCAAATATTATGAAATCACTTTTCACTCAAGAGTTAAATAACTTCAATTACATTTCATTGCTTTAGAAACTTCCATTCAAAAATGTATTTTTGACCAGAAAATAACAACTGGTTATTTACAACATATTAAGAATATCCCAGTGGTAATACTTTATAATAAGAAAAACACAAGTAAAAAAAGTTATTTTAACAAATTTCGCTCTTTAAGCAGTCAGTAATCATTTGACTATTATGTGAAGTATATTGTGACGGCATTCACAGTACTCTATAAAATACAAGAAACAACATTTATTTTTTAACTCAATTTACCAAAGAAACATTTTTCAATGTTGCTTTTTAAGCAACAGTATGTATGTAAAAATTCTAGTTACTTTTGCGAACGTCCTCAATGAAGGCTCATTTAGACCTACTGAATTGGCATGTACGAAATATGTTCATACAAACCGTGATATGTTCTGGTTCATGCCAAAGATGCCACAAAATCCACCACCACATAAATCCACCCACTATTTCAGCTACAAGAAAGGAACTCTTGGGTGGAGTTTCAGCAGCTACTCGATAAACCCAACTGAAAGTTCAAAATTAAATATCAGGAAATGTTCAAACGAAAACTGATATGCAAATTCAGCAGAAGTCGAATTACTCTTACTTATGACTATTACGGCTAATCGCGGGAGAAGTCAGTCCCCGCTTCATCAGAACTGTTCTCAACAAATTGGAACCTCGGGAAATTATCATTTTGTGGTTTCAAATACACTTCTTCCTGTACAATATAATTAAAAAATCTACAAGCTATTGAAAAAGGATACCATTTCACAATTAATTTTTCTAAAACAACGTCAATTCGTAATTAATGACCTCTCACAGAACGGGCCACAGAACTTGTAGGCTAATATAGGTTGGCACAGGCGCAAGTCGTATTTCAATTGTCAATTGAAAGGAAAATGACCAACTAGCTCACAGTGATGTCCAATATGACGACAATGTCAATGAGCCTTTGTCAGTAGTAACGTGTCAGAAATACAGTACTTAGAACTCTATATATATCCCATTATATGAACATAAAAATATTAATTACCGAAAATCCAAAACACGAAAGACAAATATATTAAAAATTATTCTTTAAGTTGGTGTAATCTAGTGATTTAACTACCTGACATCTACCGACAATAATTAAAACTATTTGGAAGAGTTCATTTTCTGTCTATGCAGTATTCGATAATAGATATCGCTAGTTACGATATTTCCACGCAAACAAGATCATATTTTCTGTTGTAAACTTCATTTTCATGCATTAGGATGCTGAAAATTTACGGAAGACAAAATGGTATTTGCTCTTTCATCTCGTATATTTTTTTTAAAAGATTTGTAGTTTCAAGCTACTGCTACAATAATTTTTATTTTAAATTGATTGAATTTGTGTATTCTGTTGTGTGAGAACTTGTACCAAGTACAATAGAAAAACTGGTGGAGCTACAACAGCTCATATAATACTTTTGCAATCATCACACATTTCTAACTTTTGAAATTTTCAAAATTTCAAATAGTTTAATGAAAGTGAGACCTATGCAATTTTTAAGTGTCTGTTGAAAAAATGTACAAAAACAATGTTGAGCCGCTTTTGAAAAAACGTTGTTTTTTTAATGCATTAACTTTATGCATGAAAATTGTTTAAAAACTACTCGTTTTCAAAAAAATCGTATCTCATCATTTTCAAAAATCTATTTTTTTAGAACTGAATTAACTTAAGACAAATCTCTATCTTAAGTGTTGTTCTTTTGCAATGTTATTTTTTTGTAATTTCCGAAACAACAGAGAATTACCAAATTGAATCATTTTGTCGTTTCTTTTACCGTCCTTTGAGGAAAAAGATAAAAAAAAATAAAGAAAAAATTGGGGCTGGTTTGAAAAAGTAATTGTTTAGAAATACCCTGTATCTTACAAAAAATTACGCAAAAACCTCATTTATGAAAAATTGTATATGATCTTATTTCAAGATCTGCTTTCGAACAATAGATTTCATTCAAGACAAAACTCTATATAGCGAGGCGCCGAAAAAAAATTTAACCTTTGCAATTTTCAAACTTTCAGAGATTTCAACGAAAATTGGTAATAATCATCTTTCCCCTTTTTCTGAGGTGATAAAACTTTTGAAAACAGCCATTACCCTGCATCTCACAACGTATGAATGTGAATCTTGCTTTTCAACATTGAAAATTATTAAAAGGCTCATGCTTAGGTTAAACGGTTGCACATTCCCCACATAATCGAAAAGGATCTTAAAATATCTTAGAAATATACATTTTCCTTTCAGTGACATTCAATATTCAAGGCATTGCAACAATATTGGTGTACACTGTCTGACAAACATGGTGCACCCAGAAGAAGTGATCCAATATTATCCCGTTTCGGTATATATACACACCATTGATCTGTGAATATTAATTGATTAGATTCACACCTATTTTTAATGTGTAGAACGCCCACTAGAGTGCATTCGTGATGTCACCACTCTGTTGTTGCGCAGTTGTTATCAGTCAACTGCTGAAAGTAAGATCTGTGGAGATCTTCGTTTGCGTGCAGTACGAAGCAACCGCGATGCCTCGCAGACGCGTTCAACTAGCCTATCCACCATTCGAGTGAATTTGACAGAGGCTGTCTTGTGGGACTTCATGCGGCAGGTTAACCGTACCATGCAATTGCCTGGCACGTGGGCCATTCAAATGTCACAGTGGCCCGATGTGATCAATGGGTACATGTGGGCACCCGTGAACGTCATGCAGGTTCGGGTCGACCAAGAAACACCACTCCGAGGGAGGACCATCGTATGGTGCGTCAAGCAGTGTGGAATCCCATAACGTCGGTATCCAACATCCGCTAACATGAACTAGCGAGTCTACGCCAGTCTGTGAGTTCCCGTACAGTGGCTCGACGACCCGCATCCACCGGTCTGAGGTTCTACCGCCCCATGTGTCGCTTACCATTCACACCAGAATACCGCTGTAGGCATTTGGGTTGGTCCCATGTCATGGACAGAGGACGAATGGGCGTCGCAACACGTTCAGTGAGTCCCGCTTCGCCATATCCTCCGACGACCATAGTGTTCGAGTGTAACGGGGGGGGGGGGCAGAGGGCACATCCTGCCCATTGGTACACAGAGAGATCCACATTCGAAACCCCGGGCATCGTGGTGTGGGGAGCCATCGGATACGCGTTCAAATCACATCTAATAGCGCTTCGGCAGATTTTGACAGGATAGCGATTTGTCACTGACATTCAGCGACCGCACGTCCTATCCCTTATGGCACATTACCCCTGGGAGAGTGTTGCAACAAGATAATGCGTGCCCACCACCCGCTCACGTGGTTCTAGCTTTGATTCCCACTGGGCACTCTAGTCCCAGTAGTAGTGGGAGTTCTAGTTTTAGTATGCATTGAGACAATTGATGGTATTAGAATTTATACAAAGCAAAAAAGAAATTGGTTTCGAAAATTCAGAAATCACACTTCAGCACTTTGCAACAAGCATTATTGTTTGGAAACGTTTTACACAAATAAAATTATTTTATTTCTAAAATTTCACTACCCTAGAATATATTGCAATAAGGAAAGATCTTCTGTACATACTCGTATTCACAACACCTCTCGCAGAACCCAGGCTGTCACCTGACTGATGGGATTCGGTTGGAGATGGTTGGAGATGCACACACCGGGAGGTTTCTTTCCAGAACGTCCAACTTTATACAAAAGACTTATCGAATGTACATTTTGAATCAAAAAACCTAATAAAAGATAAGATTTCTTTATTGAACGCGGCGCTCTCAAGCATGAGTAACATGAACAGTCACGGCTAATAAGGACATATTCAATCACAGAGAAAACTGACCCAAAACACATCATTTTAACTAGTGGTGCTACGACAGCACACATTATCTCGCATTATTTCTAAGTGCTCCGTTATTTTATACTACTACATAAACATACAAAAGGGTTTTCAACCAGCAAAAAAATTTTGCACATCGAGAATCGAAGTCAGCTCCTCCGAGTTGACTTGCCGTCAGCCATTCTACTAAGCTTCAGAAACGCCGTAAGTCACAAACTCGCTTAAAAATATAATTGTCTCAACCCAAAATTGTTCTAAATATCAATTTTTGTAATTTTCGAAAATAAGGATATTTTGTTGCAATGGGATTAGTACCATATTTTCTTACTATCCATTGGCACATACGAGGATAATATTTAATGAAAAAAATTGAAGCGGCTTTTGAGAAAATATTTTTTTAGACGCATAAATTTCAGATCCAAATTAGGAAAAATCTACTAATTTAAAAAAAAATGTACGTGACTTTGTGAAAAAGCTGTTTTTAACAACAGACTATGTCTGAGACAAACATTTCTATCTTAAATTTTGTAATTTTAAAATGTTACCTTCTTGCAATTTTCTAAGAAAAAAAGTTTGTCGAAAGTGGAACTAACTCTATATTTTATTACATCCCTTAATACACACGAGGATAAAATTTAAAGAAAATAATTAGAGCGTTTTTGAGGAACAAATTATTTAAAAAAATTAAATTACGTACATTTCTGGCAACATTACACGAAAATTTTCATATTTTCGAAAATTGAGTAAGACCTTATTTCTATATATATCTTTAATTACAGATTGCATTAAGAAAAAATTCTGTCTTCAGTATTATAGTTGTATGAAGACACCCCAAAAAATCCCTAAAAATTCCCCTTTAGTATTCTTGAAAAATAGGGGATTTCAACAAACAAGAGATCTGTACCATTCTCTTGAGCGTTCTTTACGCTATGTGAGGGCAAAGAGAAAAGATTGAAAATGTTTTTGAGGCTTCATTTTAAGTATTCTCAAAAATCCAAATATCCTATTTAAACTCTTAAAACATTGAGTTCGTTCAGATCGATCAGGGAATAAAAATTTTGGAGAAAATCGGCTGAACTGTTTTAGGCGCAAGGCTTAACCACAGAGGAACGGACAGACAGACACACACACGTTTTGTCATCAATCAATTTTTCGATATCAAGGACCCACACAATATGGATTCTGGCTACACCACGAGTTAGATGAAGTAATTTACTAGTTTTAAAGGGAATGGTCAACTTCCAACTGCCCTTGGGTTACTTTGTATTTACAACACGCTTGGGTTGATTTACAACACGCAATATTTAAAGGTAATATCATAAATTCATAAATATGGTTTAATGCCTTGTAACGAGGTGATAATTTTGCTATCGGGCTGCATTTCAAATTTCCGCAAACTGGTGTTGTGACGCAAACTGGTGTTGGAAGTTCATTGGCTGAAGTCGGATACGACGTGCAAGAGCCCACCTTGAGCGGGACTACCTCGCCCTACCCCTCCGGAGCGGCGCGCGTCACAAGCCGCATAATATCGCGCACGCAGTGGAGTGAGGGGGCGGGGAGGCGGTTCTAGCTTTAAAATAAAACCTAATTCAAACTAAACGTGTTTCGGTTCCTGCTCGAGACAAAAATAGAGTTGTAGCTTTCCTTTGAAATCGTCTCAGTTTCTATAGCTGTGTGACGAGAAAAGCTCAGGCAGGCCGCGTTTGCTACAGCAAATACAACTATAGTTATGGTGAAGGGAATATGTTCGCCACATCTTACCCCAAGCATGGGAATTAATGTAGGTCTAGGCATGGGGGACACCGTTAGCTAGCCGACAAAGTCAGACGGTCGACACTAAATGCCAAATAAATACATAGAACTAAACGCGTCGAAATATAAATCATTTAAAAACTTGACCTTGTGTGAATACTAAGACAAAACTTGAGAGTTATGCTTCTGTAAGTAATCCCGAGACAGCGAGGCGGGCGAGACGTCAATGTCAAGATAATTGCGGTAAACAACGCCAAAAGCGCGCTGAACGGATGACCTCTGTTTTATTCTCTGTTCCAGATCAGCCAGAAATGGCTGCATGGATAGCGATGGCTTCAATGCAGAGAAGTGTGGCGGCTACACGGAACTCTGCTGAATAGCGATCAGCTGGGATGGTGGCTCAGATGATCCAAGGCATCCCCTACACACGAACATTGAGTTAACGTGCGTTAAATGTAATCAACGCGCGCCAGAGAATAACACTATCGTATGCAAATCGGCACACGAGTGCTTTGACCGTTCCGCATAAAATTCAGTGTTAATTTATGACGCGCGTAACGTAACGCGCGTCAACGCAACTCTCGTGTGACACGGGCCTTAGCGGCGATAGAGGCAAAATGGCTAGAAGCACTC